TCCTCTGGTCTTGAATTGCCAAGGACTCTTATCTTCAGCTGCCCCTGGCCCTCTCTCTCTATCCCCTTCCTTGGAAAGTGGAGGCAGGAAAGTCTGGTGGTCAGAGCCCAGGCTCTGGAGTCACCTAGGCCTGGGTTGAGTCCATCTCTTCCCTCCAGGCTGTGTGAGATGAGATCAGTGGCTGCCTTCTCTGAGCTCTCATTCTCTCATTTGTGATATGGGGACACTGTGTCTCGGCTCTGGAGCTCCTGGGAGGACTAATAAACCCACGTGTATAAGACACCGGACAGAGACTCAATGAATCGTACTTTTACAAACATGGAAGGCCTGGGTGAGACTGGGAGCCGCCTGTGGGAGACAGCAGGGGTGAGAGAGGAGTCCCCTGCCCCTCTGCAGGTCTCCACCTCTGCATGGCCTCTGCCCTGGTGCTGTCTCTGCAAAGTCCTCAGCTCCATAAAAAATTAACAGTCCAGGCAAGAGCAGGGCTCCAGTTCTGACCCATTGACCCCTGGAGTTGCACAAAGGGGGGTGTTCAGCCCAAGCAAGGCCCTCACAGGTGGACCCTGGACGAATCGGGGGCAGGAAGGCCTGGGAAGCCCCTCCCCCACTTCTTCCCGCCTCCTCTAATCTCTCCACCCAGAAGTCACTGGTTGAAACCAGAGATCAGCAAACTCTGGTCTGAACTTAGTTTTTGTAAAGCATACAAACTAAGAATGGCTTTTGTATTTGTAAATGGTTGAAAAACATCAAAAGAAGAATAATATTTCATGACATATGGAAATGATCATAAACTTGAAATGTAAGTGTCCACAAATAAAGTTTTATTGGAACACAGCCGTGCCCATCTGTTCACGAGTTCTCCAGGCCTGCTTCTGCACTGCAATGGCAAAGGTAAGTTGTTTTGACAGAGCCGGAATGTCCCTCAAAGCACAAAGTAACTACTCTCTGGCCCCTAACAGAAAAACTTTGCAGACTGGCTTAAAGGAAACCTGCAGGAAGAAGCACCCTGGAGGTTCTGTTGGGACTGTTGGTGGGAATCAAGTCCCCATTTGGCTGCTAACCAGTCACACCTTAGTCAAGTGACTGGAGCGTGTCCCCTCCCTGTACCCCTGCTTTCTCTGTTAAATGGACACAGTGATTCCTTCTCTGTGTACCCAGGATGGCTTGTTTTAGACAGCCTGATTGTCGTTCGCCCCTAAGAGGAAATAACTCAAGACAACTTTCTTGTTGCCCAGATGAGAGGGAGGGGACATTTATGGGGAGATGACCATGTCACACTGAGTAGGAGGAACAGGGAGAGAGGAACTCTTTTCTTCACAGCCATATAAAAAAGACAACCCCTCTCACCCAGAGGCTATATTGGGGGCAGCTGGCAACAAGGAGGCCACCCAGACAGGGGCTGCTGCCAGCCGGGGGAGAAGGGCAGGGGCAGGAGGAGGAGGAGCAGCAGCAGCGTGGGCTTCTGCCAAGCTCCGCTTCACCTGCAGGCCTCCCGAGACCCAGAACCTGGAGATAAGCCAACGCTCAGACATGCAATGACTTTTTAAAAAAACATTTCCTGGTCGGGCGCTGTGGCTCACACCTGTAATCCTAGCACTTTGGGAGGCCGAGGTGGGTGGATCACCTGAGGTCAGGGGTTCAAGACCAGCCTGGCCATCATGGTGAAACCCCACCTTTAAAAAACAAACAAACAATTTCCTTTAGAGATGAGGTCTGGCTCACACACCCAGGCTGGAGTGCAGTGGCCAACAAACTCCTGGGCTCAAGCTGTTGTATTGGACCGAGTGTAGAAAGTTATCACCAAAACAAAAGTATGCCAGATTGCAGGGTCATTTATTATGCCGGCGACCACAGAGGACTCATGTCTCTCCAACCTGTGGTGCCAAAAGGAGGGTGCCACGATTTTTTATACCCGAAAAACCACCTTGGGAGTGGGGGTGAGGGGCGGGGATGGGGATGAAAAGGTTTCGGACATTCCAAGGGCTAGGGGATTCTGTGATTCACCTCCTGGGTGGAGACAAGGGCGGGGGGTCTCCGGACATTCCAAGGGCCAGGAGACTTTTGTCATTCTGTTTGTTACTTCAGTGGTTTACAGAAGTCAAGATATACATTTGTTTACACATCGTCTGGGTGGTGATAGAAGTCACAGATTTTAGCAGTTACTGATAAGAAAAGGTAAGTAGCTTTACGTAGTTTTGCAGAACAAACTAGCAGTTCTATTTACAGAGGCCAAGGACAGTAGTTATTGTGAGGAGAATGGGGCAGCCATTTCAACTTATTTAAAAAACAGTTTTGCATTTTATAAAATAGTTTTGCTCCGGTTCTGGCTCTAGGCCAGCACAATATCACAAAGCGATCCTCCTGCCTCAGCTTCCCGGGCAGCTGGGACCAAAGACATGCACCACCACACAGAGCCACACATGTACTCGTCTCTCCGAAGCTGACTCATCAAAGCCAAAGTCCCTATGAGGAGAGAAACCCCTCTTTCCTGTCCCTGGTCTCAAAGAAAGAGAAGTAAAAGTTGAGACTTAGCAGGCCTGAGGTCAACGGCCTGGAGGTTAAAGATTAACCCCCCATCCCACCGTTAAGATCTCAGGCGATCTTAAGGGCGGGGAAGACAGGGAGAAATGCCCTCTATTGTTCCCATTCAATCTTGCTCAAACCCCCAGGGGTACCTCACGACCCCCTCACGTGTACTTTCCAAAACTGTAAACCCAAGGCCCTTTCACATGTAATATCTAGAGCCTGTGTAAAGGCATGCCACCTTGCTCCCGGACGAATAAATCACCCCTTCCTTCCCAGTTCGGTGTTCCAGAGGTCTGTTTCTTGCGGCCGCTCCTGCTTTACCTACAGGGGCCCAAAGACCCCACAGTACCCGCCCCACCCCCTCGACCTTTCCGATCCAATCTCCCTTTTCCCTTTCTCCCACCTCATTCATCTCTAGCCTCCCCAGCCTCCCGGCTGGACCCTCCTGCCTGACAGCCCTGACTCCCTGCTGTCCCCTCTTTGGGAATGCTCTTCCCCTCTATGGCAATGGACGTGTAACTTCTTCACCTTCTTCAGGTATCTTCTCAGAAGCCAGCTGCTCAGTGATGCCTGCCCTGACAGCCTATTAAAGACTACCCCAGGGGCTGCGCATGGGGGCTGACGTCTAATCCCAGCACTTTGGGAGGCCGAGGCAAGCGGACCGCTTGAGGTCAGGAGTTCGAGACCAGCCTGGCCAACATGGTGAAACCCCATCTCTACTAAAAATACAAAAATTAGGCCGGGCGTGGTGGCTCATGCCTGGAATCCCAGCACTTTGAGATGACAAGGTGGGCAGATCACCTGAGATCAGGAGTTCAAGACCAGCCTGGCCAACACGGAGAAACCCTGTCTCTACCAAAAACACAAAATTAGCTGGGCATGGTGGCACATGCCTGTAATCTCAGCTACTCTCTTGAACCCAGGAGGCAGAGGTTTCAGTGATCGTGCCATTGCACTCCAGCCTGGGCAACAAGAGCGAAACTCCATCTCAAAAAAAAAAAATTAGCCAGGTGTGGTGGTGCATGCCTGTGGTCCTGGCTACTCAGGAGGTTGAGGTGGGAGGACTGCTTGAGCCTGGGAGGCAGAGGTTGAGGTGAGCTCTGATCACGCCACTACACTCTAGCCTGGGTGACAGAGGGAGATCCTGTTTCAAAATAACGATAATAATACCACATTGGGATTTGGCTAAGGGAGATTTTAGGTGTTCTTGCCACAAAAATAAGCATACATGAGATGATGGATTTTTTTTTCAAGCTCACCCAAAATCCCAAATGGATATATTAATTGGTTTGACTATAGTAAATATTTCATTATGTATATCAAAGCATCATGTTGTACACCTTACATATGTACAATAAAACATTATTAAGAATTAATATAAAGGCCAGCTGTGGGTCAAGATGGCCGGAGGAGACCTACGTTAATTCTAGCTCAATAATGCTAAGGTTGCTTGGCTCAGGAGACACTGGAGTTTATACACCGAACTAAACTACTAAACTAGAAATCAAGCGGCAACAGGAGGCCTAAGGTAAAGACCATCTGAGAGCGCAGTGACACCGGGAGCACCTCGGGGTGGCTGCAGAGCGGGGAATACTTCATGAATGATGTCTTCTCAACATGGAGACTGCATGAGGGCCTCGAAAAGAGGGTTTATGCAAAGATCTCTGAGAAGAGAGGCCACCTCTGATCACAAGATCTGGGAGGGTCTTTGCAGATGGGAGCTGGCACGGAGACAAGCCTCGCAGGGCAGAGCTCACGGAACGCCTCGGGCTCTGCCTAGGTTCTCAGTATGGAGTGATTTGAATTGCTCTAAGTGCCCAGTGCTGGGGATATAAAAGCCCCTGATGCACTGGGTGTGGTCAGACCCGGCAGCTCCTCATCTGCTATACCTCTGATGCAGCCGCAGCCTGATAACTATCGGTGATAAACTCGGAGCACTGGTTTGGCATGTCTTAGAGGGATCTCAAGTGCTCCCCGCCACTATCTCACCTACCCTTCACCCTCCCCTTCCACGCCCGTAAGATCAATGAGATTGTGCACATAATAAAAGTGTTTGGAGCCCAGAGCTCTGGGCCGCCGCGGTTCCCACGTTTGCCTTGGCCCCCTGGACTCATGCTGTAAATTCTACTCTTGTTTCTGACTTTATTTCCTTTTCTCAATCCCTCGTCACCGCCGGGATTATTTTTACAAAAACAGTAAGAAGTCTTTTTTTGCCACTACCTATTGCTGTCTGTGAACACTTTTACTCCTCATTTAGTTGCCCCCACAGCCCTATGCGGGAAGGGAGGGCCCTATTGCAGTATTTAATGGATGAGGAAACTGAGGCCAGGAGGTGGCTGAGGCAGCCCTACTGCTAAGGAGAGGAGGCTGGTGGACTCCAACTGCAGTGCTCCTGGATCAGAACAGAAGGCGTGGCCTCCTTCCCAGCCAAAACCCTTCCCTACAAAGCAAAATAATTAGACAAAGAAACCTAGTTGGTTAAAAAACAATCGTTTTTATATTGTAACAAGGTTCAGAATGACACCACCAGGTGTAGCCGGGTGACAGCTGCTGCCCCCAAAGCAGGGCTTGTCCCCTCTCCTGGGCGTCCAGGTGCCCTGTGTCCCTGTCCCGCTCCTATGGAGGGGCAGATGAGGGCCTGGAGGCTTCCCCGGGCCCTGTCTGCTGGCCTGGCCACCCAGGGGCCGCCCTGGACGCCTTCCTCTGCAAGCTCAGATCCTCCCTGCCAGGGATCAAGGCTGCGTGCAGGGTCGTGTTGACCCAAGGTCTCGCTGACGCACGGGACAGGAGAGGATGACGCTACGCTTGCCACAGCAGGTGGCATGGACCAGGGCTCCTCCCCCACCCCTCCTCGGGGGTCACGACGGGGCGGCCGCCGATGCCCTCCCCCATTCAGTAGGGGTAGGGGGACACAGCGATGAGCAGGATGAAGACGCTTTGGTGGCGCGAGGCTGCGGCGCGCACGGTGAGCCGGTAGAGGCCGGCACGGGTGAGCGCGCGGCGGGTGTAGACGGCGCCGTGGCCGGCGTGCAGCGGGCGCAGCGCGAATGGGCTGCGCGGGTCGGGCTCCAGCACGCTGAGCTCGGTGCTGTTGGCGGGGACACCGGCCTCGGAGAAGGCGGCCAGGCGGGCCACGTCGTGGTGGGCGCGCACGCCCAGGGGCAGCGGCAGCAGCCGGTACTGCAGCGTGGAGGGGCCGCCCGAGCTGCAGTCCCGCGAGCAGCGCCGGAAGCACGTCCTGCGGGCGGCACAGACACAGGCAGATCGCGGACCGGGGTTGCAGTCGGAGCGCGGCGGGCCGCGTAGACCCGACCTCCCGCCAGCGCAGCAGTTCCGCCCGCGCGCTGCCAGTGCTTCCCCTGCAGCGCCCCACACGCCTTCTCTGCGGGCACCCCCGCCGGCCCGTTTTAGACATCGACAAACTGAGGCCGGAGAGGCCAGAGGCCTGCCCTTTCAGGGTCCCTCTGGCGGACTCTCCAGGGCCATGCCCCAGGGCACCCACAGGCACCGGGCAGCACGTGCACCCGCTTCCAACCCCAGCCTAGGTTTCTCGAGCTGTAAGGCCCGGAGCAGGTCGCCCACCAGGAGAGATCCTCCCTGGGCAGCAGCTGCTACCCCTAAGGTCCCCATGTCTCTGTGCGTGTTACTGAATGTCCGTGGCCGCCGTGACGTGAGTGGCGTGGAGGGGATGGTTTGGTGCTGGTGTGTCTGAGTCTTGTCCTGGGTTGTGTGTGTGCGCGCATGGTGTGCCTCTGTCTGGGGTTTGATGTGTGTGCTCCCGTGTCCCCGTTCTCCCCCACTCCGGCCTCTCCCTGCCCCCAGGGCCCCGGGTGCTCCTGCCTGCATCACTTGTGTGGGGAGTGACAGTGACGGGGCCAGCCTGCACCGAGTGACTGAAAAAATGTTCTTTTCCCCAGGGCACAAGGCCTTGCCAACTCAGCCCTTACCCGGGACTGGGGCCCTGCCGGTAGGTGGCAGGACAGGGCGTGTCCACACACTGGTAGCTGCCTCGGGTGTTGAAGCACATCTGGCCGGGTCCACACTCAATGCCCTCCTCCTCACACTCGTTGATGTCTGGATGGGGAGGGGTGAAGCAGGAGAGGGAGGTGAAAAGGAGGAGAAAGGACAAGTGGGGAGTACGTGGGGAGAAGGACCTTTGGGGGACCAGTGAGGTGAGCAGCCCTTCTCCTCCTGTCCCCAGCCAGTCTGACCCATGACTACCCAGCGTGGAGGTCCCCAGCACCTTCTCACCCCCCTGGGGGCCAGGGCTTTCCAGGGCATGTAGGTGGGCACCATGGGGAGCTCCTGAGCAAGTGCTGGGTAGGAGGGCCTGGGAAAGATGGGGCTTTTCCTGAGTGGCTGCTTTGCTTGAAGACCCAGAGTGCCCACTGCCCATGGGCAGAGCCCCTGACCCTGTCTCCCTCAGTAGACGCCCTGCCCTTCTCAGAGGACGTTCGCTGACCTCCATGGCAGCGTGAGGGATGGAGACAGGCTAGGCAGGTCCCTGTTCTTTAAGGTGGAGGAAGCAGCATGCCTGACCCCAGCCCGGGGTACACCAGGGAAACCGAGCCTGGCTTGGGAGTTAGAGCCCCTTACTATACCACCAGCAGCAGCTGTGTGCCCTGTGCCCAACCACCACCATTCTCATCCCCACTATTTGAGGGGGACTGTGCTAGCCCCATTTAATCAGGAGGCCGGAGGCTCAGAGAGGTGAAGTGAGTTTCCCAGGGACACACAGTAAAGCTGAGATTGGCTCTGCAGGGCTGCTTTCAGAGGCTGCCCGAGTAATCTCTCAGAGCTCCTGTTCGGAGCACAGGCCCTGCTGTGGCTGTGGGAGCCTGGGGTGTTCACGGAACCCCTCTGAGCCTGCCTCCCTGCCCCCACCTCACAGGATGGTTGTGAAGGAGCTGGAGCGAATGGAGTGGGTGAGAGGCCCACATGACCCGTCCCATGCTGCCTTCCCTAACCCTGAGGGTGTCTGGGCGTTGGCCTGAGCCTGGCTTACCCTGGCAGTTCTTCCCGCTGGGGAGCAGGCGGTAGCCGGTGGGGCACACGCACTGGTAGCTGCCCTCGGTGTTGCGGCAGGCATGCTGGCACAGGTTCCTCACCCGGCACTCATCAAGGTCTGGCCCGGGCATGGAGGGTGGGGCAGGTGGGGGGTGGGGCAGAGAGAGGAGCTGAGCCACAGACACTGAGGTGGCCACGTGCCTACCTGCCGGGCTCTGGAGCTGCCCTGCTCCTTCTCCCTGTCCTGCCCCTCCCAGCCCGGGTTAAGGGTCTGGGGGAGTCCCTGGGCTTGGTGAGAGCAGGGAGCCCCACTCTACCTACCCCATGCTTGCCAAGGAATAGAGGGAGAAGCCCCGGCGAGAATGCTGAGGCATCAGCTCTGGGGCAGGCCACCTCCTCTTTGCTCCTCTCTGCAGGGTCCAGGGGCTGTTCCCAACCCCCACCCCTCCACCCAGCAGTCCCTCATCACATTCTCATGTCTACCTGGAACATTCTTCTTCACTCCTGAGAATCTCCCTTTCTGACTGCTCAGAGGAGCGTTTCTCAAAGAGGGTTCTGGGTACCACCTGCCTCAGGTGCCCTCCCTCTGGGCAAAGCATCCTGAAGCCAAATGGTTTAAAAGATACCCCACCCCCCATCTTGGAAGCCCCCTGCCCAGTAGCACAGCCAAGGCTCTGAGCCCCCGTGCATGGGAGAAGCCCCCATCCACCACACCAGCCACCCTGCTTGCCTGGGAGGTCTGGGTTTCTGAGCTCGGTGGGTACCCCGTGCATAACCAGCCCAGGAGCCCAAGATGCCCTCACGGCTGTGTCCTGTGGATGGTCAGGGCCTGGCCTTACCCGTGCAGACTCCGTTCTGCCTGATGAAGCCAGGAGGGCACCAGGCCCGGCCCATGCTGCTCAGGGCCATGGGACCCGGCCGGAGAGAGAGCCAGGCATGATAGGAGCCACCGGGGACGGAGGCTCGGGGCCGCAGCCAGGGCGCTGGAGGGCCTCGGTGGCTGACGGTGGTGACGTTTTGTCCATTCCGTTCCAGTGAGGTACAGGCCTTGCCATCTCGGAGGAGGGTCTGGCCGGGGGGGCACAGGCAGCGGTAGCTGCCCTGGAGGTTGTGGCACTGGTAGGCGCAGGCCTTGGGCAGCTGCAGGCATTCATTGACATCTGCAGAGGGGCAGGGGCAGGTGTGTGCACAGGTGGCCCAGGGCTCCCTGCAGCTGGCAGCCATCGCCTGGCCCTGCCTTCTCTCTTGCTGGCGCTCCCTAGAATTGCGCCATCCCATGTTGCATGTGGGTCACCGCATGCCCCTCTCCTGGGGCCAAGCCCAGCCTCCTCTCTGACCCCACCTACGGCTCTCAGCATCACCCCAGCCTCCAGCTCCCCCTCAGCCCCACAGCACCCCAGTTAGATCCGTGCCCTCTCCTAAGCCTCTCTGAGGTCCACCCACTTGCCTCCACCATCTTCCTCCTCCTGAGATTCCCTGGAAGATGACCCCACAGGGTTGGGCTGAGGTTTTGGTCACAGGCAGGCACCCAGTGAGCGCAGTGTCAACTACTGTTTGGTTATTCTCGGAACTCACCAGCACGGGCTCCATAAACACCTACGGCCCCTGAGCTGGGGGTGCCAGCCAGAGGGTGGGTGTCCCCGTACCTAGGCAGGGCAGGCTGGGGCCCTGCATCCGGTAGCCCCTGGGGCAGCTGCAGCGGTGACCGCCTGGAGTGTTCTCGCAGAGCTGGTTGTAGTGACAGTCGTCCACCCCCTCCAGGCATTCGTCCACATCTGGAAGGCAGGGGCATGGTCAGGGGGCGAGGTCTAGCCCAGAGCCCTTCCCCGAAGGGACGGATCATCCCCCTCCATATCTGGGCTTCCTCCCTGTCCCCTCCTCCAGTTTCAGTGCCACCAGCCTGCATGGCAAACCTCGTGCCACCTCCCCAGTTATACCAGGTTGGAGGTCAAGAGGGTTCCTGGTCCCAAAGAAAGGAAGGGGCTTAAAGGGTGGGCTTTGGGGGCAGAGTCCTGGGTTCTGCTGAGTTCTGCCATATTCTAGCCCTTGGGCAGGGAACGCTCCCTCTCTGAGCCTCAGTGTCCTCCCCCGTAAAGAGGGTAAAGATGTGACCTCTTCCTGGGGTCGTGGTGAGGAAGGGAGCCTCGTATGTGGGAAGAGCTAAAAATGTGGTGAGAAGGGAGGACAGGTGTCAGGGTGAATCGCTGGGCACTCTGAGGGCCCTGGGACCACAAGGTGCGTTGGCTGATCCTCTGGGGTCAGGCTCCACCATGCTTCCCTCTCCACTGGACAGTCTCTCAGAGAAGCCAGTGGGTCCATGATCCTGCAGCCATAGACTGCTGGGACAGGAGGGACCACTGGGGTCACCCGTCCAGGGGTGGCACCTAGATTTCACCTCAAAGGCTGACTGCACCTGCTCCATGGTGGCTGGGGGCTGCTGGGACGAGAAGGATTCCGAGGTGGCCTCTAGCTGGGCCTTGATTCATGGGGGGAATAGAACGGACGGCAGCGGAGGGAGCACGTGTTCGCCATCCCTGACCTGGCTCCCTCTTTATCAAGCAGACAAGAAACTGAGGTCCAGAAAGGAAAACACCCCTGTCAAAGAAGGGGCAAGCTGCCAGGAGCCAGGGCAGGGCTGAGACCTCCAGAGCCCAGTGCAGGCTTCCTCACCAGCCTTGCTGCGCTCCTTCTGCCAAGAGTCCCGGTTTTCCCGGGAACCCAGAAGCCCGGTGACACACAGCCCCGATCCTCTGATCCCTGGCAACCTTTGCATTTCCAGGAGTAAGGACAGGCCGCACGCTGTGGCCCCATCACCTTCACAGCCGGCCCCATCAGCAGCCACTCGGAAGCCAGGCCCACAGTCGGGGAGGCAGCGGTAGGACCCCAGCAGGTTCACACAGCGCTGTCCCTCTCGGCAGAGGTGGGCATCCCATGCACACTCGTCCACATCTGGGGGCAGATCGGGGAAGACGGCTGTGTGAACGTCACCCTAGGCCTACCTCACCACCTGGCCCTGGCCCAGTCTATCCACAGACGCTTCGTCCCCAGGCCCAGAAGCCACAGGCAGGAAGGTCCCCACCCCTTCTGCTAGCTCTTTCCATTGTCCTTCTCCCACCGCAAAACACAGGGCCCACTCCAAGGGACCCGAGGGCCTAGGCCTGCAGCTTCCAATGCAAGGCTGCAGACTGCTCCCTTGGGCACCCGGCTTGGAGCCCGGTGGAGACTTAGCGGCACCAGGCCCTCCCGGTGGAGTACAGGGATGCAGATTGGGGGTCAGCATCAGGACCATCTCCCAAGGTCAAGTTTGTCATCCAGCACCATTGCCGAGGGGGACAACTCACTTGCCAGTCTCAGTCAGTTGGAAATGATGCTGAGTGTTGGGAAAGCTTCCGAGGCCTGTCCAGGTTCAGAATGCCGTGAGCATGTGAAAACTGCCCATAGACCTCTGGGGCTCCCCATCACCCTCTGATACCTGGGCCTCGCTCATCTGCAGCTCCCACAGCAGGAAGGAGCCTGGTGGGGATATGGCATTGGGACTCCTAGGCTGACATTGAATGCCCTCAGGATGGGTCACCCTGCAGGTCTGTGTTTCCAGCCAGGGTCCTGGCCCTGGGAACCCTTCTGCACACCTGGGCCAGGTCTGAGGAGCACCTCTCCTCCCAGGGGCCCCTCACCTCTGCAGTTCCTGTCATCCCAGGCCAAGGCAAAGCCAGCAGGGCAGGCGCAGGAGAAGCGGCCGGGTGCGTTAAGGCAGGAGTGGGAGCAGGGGCTGGGGCCTCCCGAGCACTCGTCCCTGTCTGGGGCAGGAAGGGGTCTGGTGGTCTCTGCTCCCAGGCCCTCCTGCCAGCTGGCTGGGAGAGCCCATCTATCCCGGTATCCCGAGCTGAGAGACCTCCGACATCCATGCCAGGGGGGGTCGGGGGGAATGGGGGGGCGCTCACCCACACAAAAAGCTCCCTGGGAGTCCAGCTCAAAGCCCTCGGGGCAGCCGACCTCGTTCTCCTCTGCAAGGCAAAGAGGACAGACCCTAAGGACATGAGGGTGTCCTCTCCCATGGCTGTGCTGGCTGTAGCCCAGGCTCGCAGCCTCTCCTCCCTGCCCTCCCCACTGCCAGCTTGGCCAGGCAGAGCCAAGATGGTGCCAGAGAGTCAGCGAGCCCATTTCCTGCCCAGGCCTGTTGGAGGCGATGACTGAAGGGCATCCAGTCAAGGAAATGTGACCTGAAGGGCTCCCAGTGGGGCTGGGCAGTGAGTCAGGCAGCCCCAGGAAACCATTAAAATCAAATGCAGGAAGTGAACACGTGCAGAACGGCACTCCTGAGACCCCAGCGGCAATGCACGGAGAGCACCAGGAGGGGCAGAGGACAGCGTCAGACGGGCAGCAAGAACAAAGGCAGAGGAGGGGGGAGCTGGCGTCTGGAGGCAGGAAGGATACAAGGCGGTCTAAATCAGGGGTGTCCTGTCTTTTGGCTCCCCTGGGCCACACTGGAAGAAGAATTGTCTTGGGCCACACGTAAAATACACTAACGCTAAGGATAGCTGATGAGCTAAAAAGTAATCGCAAAAAGAATCTCATAACGTTTTAAGAAAGTTTACGAATTTGTGCTGCGCTCACTCAAAGCTGTCCTGGGTGGCATGCAGCCCGTGGGCCGTGGGTGGGACAGCTTGGTCCAGATAGTTGTAGGGACAGCCACCCTTAATGAAGCAGCCACTAGGGGGGCCAGGCTAGGGTTTTAGAGACAACCTCTACACGGCAACCCGCTGCAAGGAAGGCCATGTCATGCCCACTGTGCAGATGGGAACTCTGAGGCTCAGGGAGGAACAGGACATTGCCCCCAAGATGCCACAGCCAGAAAGTGGTGCACTTGGGATTTGAACCAGGGTCTGCCTGACCTTAAAGCTGTGCTCTTATCACTATTGCTTTTTCAATGTTCAAAACATGTTGGGACCTCAAATAATGTGAACACGTGTATCTCTGGGGTTCACTGGGTAAGAATGGAAAGCGTGTTCCTCTGGTTCTCCAGGGGTTCCAACAGCGGTTCCTGGTCCCCTGGGTGGGGCCTCCATACAAGTGCCCTTGGGAGAAGAGGGTGGGGTGACTCAATCCCTGAACATCAGCCTGGGGTGGCTGGACCTTCTCCCTGGTGCCTGGGGAAAGGATCCAGAGGTTGGGACGGGGTTGGCTGAGAGAGCTGTGTCCCTGTGAGGAGGGACAGGAATGGGGACAGGCCAGGTGGGCCGTCTCAGTCCCCAGTCACTGGCCCATGGTCACTGGATATTGGGGGCAGGAGTGGCTTCCAGCCATGTGCATTTGGGCCCCTGGCAGGTTTTAGCTGGGGCGGTGGGGGTGCAACAAAGCAGCAGACCCTCACCCGCTTGCAGGGCTGTCGTGAGCCGGAAGCGCAGGGCCTCGGCCTCTGGGTCGAAGGCCGAGCTGACAGCCGAGGCCCGAAGGTGCTGTACCAGCTGGGGCTGGGGGCCCCGGGCCGAGTCGTACTGGATGCTGTGGTTGCAGCGCAGGAACGAGGGGAGGCTGCCCTGGAGGAAGCGCTGTGTGGAGCCCACAAACAGCCGGCCAGGCCCCGTCTGCACATAGCGCTCCTCAAAGTCCTGCAGGAGGAACAGGAGGGTGGAGGAGGAGGGGAGGGGGAGAGGGAAACAGAGGTCAGGGACGGAAGGGGAGGAGGAAATTTCAGCTCCCAAGCAGCCTGAGACCCTTACCCCAAGTCAGGGGCTGGGGAGACTTGGGAGGAGATGGGGTGAGGCTCCCAGAGCCTCTTCTAACCAGCTGGGCTGCGCTGGGCAGCTCGCCTCTCTTCAGGACTCCTGCTTTGGAACCAGAACACTCTGATCTGGGGTCGCAGGGCTCAGAGCATTCCCTCATGGGCTCGCACTTGAGCCCGTTACAACTGCTCGCCCTACCCTAAGTTCAAGGCCAGACTGTGACCCAGCCCTGTGGTTGCCGGCCTGGGAGGAGGGAGAGTAGGCCTGGCTGCTCACGGGTGGTTGAGAGCCGGGCACCTCCATCTCTCTTACCCACCCCGTCTGCACACCCCAGGCGTGACCCCCACCTGCACGTGCAGATCTGCGTCAGCCAGGCTCTCAGGGACACCACCATCGACCACCACATCGAGGAGCAGGAGGCCATTGGGATCCAGGCCCCGGGCCACCTGGGTCATCGTGAGCAGCTCCCCTGCAATCCATCCCCGCCCAGCACAGTCACCAGGGAGCTCCTGGGCTCCTGCTTCAGCCCTACCTGGCCCACCTGGGGGAGGCCCTGCTTACCTGTAGCAAACTCCACGTGTGACTCCTGCCGGAACTTGCCCCCCGTCAGGGAGTGGCCGTTCAGGGCCTCCCCACTCTCTCCGGCCAGGGCCCAGTAGATGGGGGCGATGGTGACCACGAGCACCCGCATTAGAGGCCCTGGGTGGGGCAGGGCGTGGACGCTGAGTTAGGGCTGATCTTCAGGGCGGCCACTCTCCTGCTCAAGGGCCCTTCATGGATTCCCACTGCCCCCAGGAGAGCTTGGCCCCTTCCCTCGCTGCCTACACTCAGCCTTGTGGCTGCCATGCCAGTTATTTAACCAGAATCCAGGAAATGGTGGAGGCAAACAATCTACTTCCTGGAGTAGCTGTGCAGTTAATAAATTTACACAAGGAAATGTTGGGTAACGTGGCGAGACTCTGTCTCTGGAAAAAATAAAAATATTTACACAATTAGCCAGGTGTGGCGGCATACGCCTATAGTCCCAGCTACCAGGGAGGCTGAGGTAGGAGGATCCCTTGAGCCTGGCAGGTTGAGGCCGCAGTGAGCTGTGACCCACTGCACCGCTGCGTTCCAGCCTGGGCAACAAAGCCAGAGGCAATCTCAAAAAGAGAAAAAGAAGAAAGAAATGTGTGTACTTTGCTGATATTCAACTCAACAAACGCCGAATGATGGCCTGAGTCACCACGGAGCCAGGGACTCCACTGACTGTCGGTACAAATTTGCTCAGTGGAAATCAACCAACTTTTCTGACTTGCAGATCCCTTCTGGACGAGCCCAGGAGGAGGAGGATTGTTCCAAATCATTGGAAAAAAGAACCAAAAAATTGCCCTAGATGATCGGGCGCGGTGGCTCACGTCTGTAATCCCAGCACTTTGGGAGGCCGAGGCAGGTGGATCACAAGGTCAAGAGGTACAGACCAGCCTGGCCAACATAGTGAAACCCTGTCTCTACTAAAAAAATACAAAAATTAGCTGGGCATGGTGGCACCCGCCTGTAATCCCAGCTATTCAGGAGGCTGAGGGAGGAGAATCGCTTGAACCTGGGAGGTGGAGGTCTTGATAAGCTGAGATCACACCATTGCACTCCAGCCTGGGCAACAAAAGCGAAACTCCATCTCAAAAAAAAAAAAAAAAAAAAAAAATTGCCCTGGATGTGAATTCTCAGGCCTTCTGTGATGGCCCACCCTCCATGTAGGGCCAGGCGGGACCACGGACTGGGCAAGGGGACGCTTGCCCAGAGTGCCCTGCTCCCCCCTTGCTCAGAATCAGGGACGGTGCCAGCTTTGCAAGGTTCACAGGAGCCAGGCAGGCCCCTGCATGAGCACCACCTTCTCAGCCTCTCTGCGCATCTGTTTCCATGGAGCAGGGCCTGGCCCTCAGGCCTGGGGTCGCATGTTTTTCCAGGGCTCATGCTCCCGCAGCTGGAATAAGCAGCCAAGTCTAGGCAGCATCTTGCTTCATTTGCTGTCTGCCCACAGTCAACTCAGAGTGACCCCCTACCCCAGCACAATCCCCTGGCCTACACTGTTCCTGCAGGACCATGATCAAGGGCAGCTTCAAAGGAGCTGCTTTTAGTGAAGATCCCATGAGCACCACCCCGTCTGGACCCCCATGAGGGGCCATGGAGTCCTTGGGAAGGGAGAGACAGTGAGATCCGCTGTCACAAGCTCTGCAAGTCTCTCTGATCATTCATCGCTCAGACTCCGGACATAGCTCCGTGCTCAAGCGACTCTTCTTGGTCCTTAAGGTTTTCTAGAGAATTCCATTCTCCATGTTTCCCACTTCCTGTCACCTCCAGCCTACACCCCTCACTCATGACTGGAGATCCCTCCACTTCCATCAGCCTATGCCTTAATAATGGGGAGAGGCCTCAGGGAGTCATCACTGGCTTCAGAAACCACAATCTGAGTGCCTGCACCCCCAGAACACACAATCTGAGCGCCTGCACCCCCAGAACACTGACCATTTCACACACTCTTGGTCTGACTATAAATGTAGTTGCTTTTTTTTTTTTTTTTTTTTTTTTTGAGACAGAGCCTTGCTCTGTTACCAGGCTGGAGTGCAGTGGTGCAATCTGAGCTCACTGCAACCTTCACCTTCTGGTTCAAGTGATTCTCCTGCCTCAGCCTCCCGAGTAGCTGGGATCACAGGTGCCCACCACCATACCTGGCTAATTTTTGTATTTTTAGTAGAAACAGGGTTTCACTATGTTGGCCAGGCTGGTCTCGAACTCCCAACCTTGTGATCTGCCTTGGCCTCCCAAAGTGCTGGGATTACAGACCTGAGCCATCGAGTCCAGCCAAATGCAGTTACTTTGTTTTGGGGAGGTTGCGACAGGGAGGAAGTTGCCTGCACCTCAGTCCATTTGGCTTGCACTCAGCTTTGAGAGGTACTCAGATGTGCTCTGGGTATCTGGCCCTGAGCAAGTCTTGGAACACAGGCTCTGCCCCTCCTAGGTCCAGCATGCTCCAGAGGATCCTTGCTGGGCCAAGAAGTGGCCCAGATGCAGGTGATGCTCTGCCTCCCACTCACCCACGTTTGCTGGGACATGATGGATGCTGCTGTGGATGCTGGCGACCCCGGAGCGCGCCTCCTGCATCACGCTGGTGTTGAGCGTGGCCACGCCAAGTTTCTGGCCATTGATCACCCCCATCATGCTGCCCCGGCTCCCCTGGGGCTCCCCTATAAGGAGGAAAAGAATGACAGTGCCACTGACTATCCACCCCTGGGACCCAGAGCACAAGTGGGTTCTGTTGTCATTCCCATTTCACGGAGGAGTAAATGCGGGCTGGGAGAGTTCACGTCCACTTGTCCAAGGACACCCAGCTAAGGGGTGATGGACTCAAAGCCTGGGGGATCTTGGCTCTAAAAGAGAAGGGAGGCTGCCAGGAGAAACCCTAGGCTGGGGGGCGGGGCTGGCTTCTAATTCTGGCTCTGCCAATGCCTTCCTTGAAGCCTGGCCACATCAGGCCCCCAAGCCACACCTGAGTTGGCTCACCTGTAAAATAAGGAGGTGGGACCACAAACCCACAGAAGACCTGTGGGTATCTGGAATGCCAGGGTCCCACGATGGCATGGCTGGCATACTGCAGGAGCCAGGGCACTGAGCCAGAGCCGGGTGCTGTCACCTGAGCAGCCCCATTCCATCAGTGCTGCTGGCTCCCGCTGCCCTGCAGCTGGCCTCGCTCGGTGGGCTGGTGTCCTAGCAGCTGCCCGCCAGGCCATCTGTGAGCAGATGCTCTTTAGTGCTAATCAAACGGATGGTGCAGGCACGGGGGGTGCTTCCTCTGACTAATGGGCCAGCTGTCTTGTTGAGGCAGATGGCATTCCAGGGGATGAGAGACAGAAGTTAGCCTGCCTCTCCACTTACCAGCTCTCAGGGGAAATTAACTACCAATTGCCCATGATCTGTCAAAAAATAACATAAAACACTCAACTGCTAGGATCCTAAATGGATGAATCAAGGGGCTGGCTAATTTTGGGTTCTAGGAAGCAGGGCCATTTCCTGTAGCCCGTAGTTGGGGTTTGATGAGATTTGAAACTCATCTGGGATGTTTCCCATCAGTATCCGATGCTCTGGGGCCTCTGGAGGCGACAGGAGAAGGGCCATGAACCTAACCCTGGCCTTTTAATAGCGGGGTGAGGAAGGAATCGGGAGCTGCAGGCGAGACGGCTGCAGCGTGACCCGGGCAGCTTTGGCAGAGGACAGGAAAGGAACCCAGGCACGGCAAGCCACCGCCACGTCTCTTAGACATAGAGCAACGTAGCTGCCTCTTATCCCCCACAAGGCCAGGACTGGGACCTGCCAGGCTGATGGGAAGAAAGAATGAGGTGGTCAGAAGGGAAAATAGGTTTACGGTGAGAGGCTCCCAAACCCAGAACTCCCCTTACCCACAAGCCCCCCTTCAGGAAATCGTCCCACGGATATATTCAGGCCACACACAAAGACGCACACTACCACGGTGCGGTTTTGGGGAATGGAAACTAGAAAAGCAAACCACACGGCTTGTTTGACAGAGCCGAGAGAAATGAAGATGAAAAACGTTCCCATGGAATGATACGAGGACAATAAGAAAGTCATGGGCTGTTGTTAATCACAATGGGATATTCTCCAAGACAGAGGAAGGAAAAGTGGCAGGTTACAGAGGTTGTAAACGTGACATTTATAAAAAGAAAAGTATACCTCTTCTATCCAGGGAAAGGACTGCGGAAGAATATAGCTCCCCAAATAATTGCCTAAGTTACTGCGGGTCCCTGAATTATGGGAGAGAATCAGCCTTTTCTTCATAGGTCTCCATAGTGTCTGGCCTTTCTACAACTGACATATATAAAGGAAGAATACTTGTTATTAAAAAAAAAATGGAGGCTGGGTTATGGATGGAATTGTACCACCGCACCCCAAATTCATACTTCAGTTGAAGTCCTAGCCCCCAGGACCTCGGAATGTGACCTTATTTGAAGACAGGGTCTTTATAGAGGAAGCCAGTTAGAATGAGGTCATTAGGGTGGGCCTAATCCCAAGCGACTAGTGTCCTTATAAACAGGGAAGCTTAGACGCACAAGGAGACCGCCACGGGAAGATGAAGGTGGAGGTGGGGGTGATGTTTTGACAAGCCACAGAATGCCGAGGACCACTGCAAGAGTCTGGGGGAGAGACCAGGACCAGATCCTCCCACCGTCCTCAGAAGGAAGCGGGGCTGCTGGCAGTGCGATGCTGGATTTCAGCCTCCAGAGCTGTGGGGCCGTCAGTGCCGTTTAAGCCTCAGCTTGTGGTGTTTTTTACCAGCAGCCCTAGAGAACGAATACAGAGGCCACGTGCACAGCTCTGTGGTGTTTTTTACCAGCAGCCCTAGAGAACGAATACAGAGGCCACATGCACAGCTCTGTGGTTTGGACTGGGGCTTGCCAACAGGAGAGGGTAAGAAGTGGGACCATGGCCTGAAACAGAGTGGGGTCTGCTTAGACCTGAGGCTCTCTCCAAGGCCACATCTTCAGCTGGGGGTCAGAGAACTGAACTTTTAGAGCTGTATAGGTTGGTGCTCTGCACAGCCTACGAGAGAGAACGAGAGCAGGGGCAGGGACCAGAAAGGGTTCCACATTTGGTTGGCAGTGGGTTTCATGTGGATTTCCAGGGGGCCAAGTGTTAAGTCCCAATTCCAAATAGCTGAGAGGTGCTGCCTGGGAGGGCTCATTGGAGAAAGATTCTGCCAGTGTATGTGGCGATAGATTAGTGATGTCTGCCAGGGACAGAGAGCGAGACACATAACCACGCAAAGGGAGTGTTCCCTCCAGAGGCACAGGCCACAGAAATAATATCTTATGACTTGCCTTTATGCAGGGCTGAATTTGTTTACTGTGGTTTCTCAGGATAGACCTTTTCTTAATTTTAAAGTTTGGTCTGACTCAAGGGAGAAGGGAGGTGACTGAGGAATCCGAGATGGCAGGGGTCTGTCCCACCAGGAAGCCATCTCTTTTCCCACCACCTGCCATGGCCACGCAATGCGTGAACCTGGGACACACGCTGATGCACAGATTTTTCGCAGCAGCCCCCGAGGGCATCGGGGATGCCCTTGTCTTCCTCCACCTGCTTCCTGGGGCTGTGCAGTGTCCAGACAGAGGACATGCATTTGTGCCAGTTAAGCAGGAACAGCCAGTGTTCCCTGGCCAAGATGAGCAGCAAACACTTAGCACCTCCAAGACTCTAAATGGGCAGGGTAGGGGTTCATTCTGGGCTTGTGATGAAGCAAAGGGAAGAGGTGGGGAGCTGGGGGCCAGGTCCCCCATAAGCACCACACAATTCCCATCAGCAGGAGATCCTCCCTCTGTCCACAAAAGTCCAGACGGGGATGCCCCATACCTCTCACGACCAGGAAGGCCCGGGCTGTGGCAGAGCCCAGGAGGTTGTGAGCGACGCAGTCGTAGGCACCTGCATCCCCAGCCTCCACGCTCTCCAGCCACAGGCTCCCATCAGGCAGGGTCTGGAGCCGCCGACTGGCTTGCAAGGGGCGACCTGCCCACAGCCACTCGATGGTGGGCGCGGGCTCTCCAGTGGCCTGGCACCGCAGGGCCACATCATCCCCGGATCTCACTGTCATGTCCTGGGGCTCCACCTGGAACACTGGAGCACCTGTGGGAGGCCCGGGTGGCTTTTAGAAAGATTTAATTATTTTTGCATATTCAAACAGAATATGTTCATTTAGACACACTGGGAAATCCAGAGAGGCAGAAAGGAGAAAGTAAGAACTACACAGGATCCTTCCACCCAGTCACTGTTCCTGAATAGTTCCCTCTAGATACTGTTTCTTCATGAAAATATCATATGGCCATATCTGCTTTTATTTTGTTTTATTTTATTTTTTGAGATTGAGTCTCGCTCGGTCACCCAGGCTGGAGTGCAATGGCACCATCTTGGCTCACTGCAACCTCCACCTCCCGAGTTCAAGTGATTCTCCTGCCTCAGCCTCCTGAGTCGCTGGGATTATAGGCATGTGCCACCCCACCCAGCTAATTTTTGTATTTTTGGTAGAGATGGGGTTTTGCCATATTGACCATGCTGGTCTCGTACTCCCAACCTCAGGTGATCTGCCCTCCTTGGCCTCCCAAAGTGCTGGGATTACAGTCGTCAGCCACCACATCCAGCCCTGGCTCTCTTTTACAAGAATACTTGTAGATAGGTGTGATGGCTCATGCCTATAATCCCAGCACTTTGGGAGGCCGAGGTGGGTGAATTGCTTGAACCTAGAACTTTGAGAAGAGCCTGGCCGATATGGTGAAAGCCCATTTCTACTAAAAAAAATACAAACATTAGTCAGGTGTGCTGGTGTGTGCCTTTAATCCCAGCTACTTGAGAGGTTGACCCAGGAGAATTGCTTAAACCTCGGAGGCAGAGGTTACAGTGAGCCAAGACTGCGCCACTGCACTCCAGCCTGGGTGAGAGCAAGATTCCATCTCAAAAAAAAACCAAACCAAGAAACATAAAAACCCAAAAAATAAAACAAAACAAAACAAAAAAAACACAAAAAACAGAACACTTGTGATAGCATGTAAGCCCACCGAGATAATCTGCTCACTTTAAGATCCTTAACTTAATGACATTTGCAAAGATTCCTCTTCCAAGTAAGGAAACATTGACAGGCCCTAGGGACTGGGACCTGGACATGCCTTTGGGAGCTGTGCATCAGATCCCACCACAGCCAGTGTGTCCTAAAGTAGAACACATGTGTACCACGTGACCTAGCACTTCGGCTCCTGGACAAATACCCCAACACAAGTGTGCGTGCCTGTTTACCGGTGGACGTGTATAAGAAGGTCGCAGCAGTGCTGTTCTTAATTGTCCATAACTGGAAACTAACGTACAGTGGAATACATGAATAAACTGTGGTACATCCATGTATCGAAAAACATACAGCAATCAGAACCAATAAACAAATCTGGATGAATGCCATAAGTAATCAATTTTGTGCAAAAGAAATCCATGCAAGAGCACGTGTAGGGTGATTCCATTTAAATGAAGGCCAAGGCCAGGCGCAGTGGCTCACGCCTGTAAGCCCAACACTTTGGGAGGCTGAGGCGGGTGGATCACCTTAAGAGTTCAAGGCCAGCCAGGCCAACATGATGAAACCCTGTCTCTAAAAATATAAAAATTAGCCGGGTGTGGTGGTGGGTGCCTGTAATCCCAGGTACTTGAGAGGCTGAGGCAGGAGAATTGCCTGAATCCAGGAGGTGGAGGTTGCAGTGATCCAAGATTGCGCCACTGTACTCCAGCCTGGGAAACAGAGTGAGACTCCATCTCAAAAATAAAAATATAAGGCCGGGCATAATGGCTTATGCCTGTAATCCAAGCATTTTGGAGGCTAAGGTGGGCAGATCACCTGAGGTCAAGAGTTCAAGATCAGCCTGACCAACATGGTGAAACCCCGTCTTTAAAAAAATAAATAAATAAAAATAAAAATGAAAATAATAAATAAATAAAGGTCAGTCAGAACAAGCAAGAATCAGTTGTCAGCTGTGGCTGAGGGATGAGGTCAGCAAATAAGCATAAAACTGGACACACTTGCCTGAAATAACTATTTCAGGGCTCTCAAAATCAACCAAAGGTTTACAACAAATTGAGAAGCATTTACATTTTTTTTTTTTTTTTTTTCTTTGAAACAGAGTTTCACTCATGTTACCCAGGCTGGAGTGCAATGGTGCGATCTCGGCTCACCAAGACCTCCGCCTCCTGGGTTCAGGCAATTCTCCTGCCTCAGCCTCCTGAGTAGCTGGGATTACAGGCACACGCCACCATGCCCAGCTGATTTTTTGTATTTTTAGTAGAGACGGGGTTTCACCGTGTTGACCAGGATGGTCTCCATCTCTTGACCTCGTGATCCACCTGCCTCGGCCTCCCAAAGTGCTGGGATTACAGGCTTGGGCCACAGCGCCCGGCCCAGCATTTACATTTTGTAAATGACTCTTTTTAATTTTTTGGGACAGGAGCTCACTCTGTTGCCCAGGCTGGAATGTGACCTCAGCTCACTGTAGCCTTGACCTCCTGGCTTACCTCCTCCTCCCACCTCAGCCTCCCGAGTAGCTGGGACTACAGTTGCGCACCGCCATGCCCGGCTAATTTATTTATTTTGTGTAGACGTGGGGTTTCACTATGTTGCCCAGATTGGTCTCAAACTCCTGGACTCAATCAATCTTTCTACCTAGGCCTCACAAAGTGTTGAAATTATAGCTGTGAGCCACTGTGCCAGGTCTTGAGAAGCATTTATCCATAAAAAGCCTCTATGGCCGGGTGCAGTGGCTCATGCCTGTAATCCCAGCACTTTGAGAGGCTGAGGTGGGCAGATGGCCTAAGGTCAGGAGTTTGAGACCAGCCTGGCCAACATGGTGAAACCTTGTCTCAACAAAAAATACAAAAGTTAGCTGGATGTCATCCCATCTAGTTGGGAGACTGAGGCAGGAGAATCTCTTGAACCTGGGAGGTAGAGGTTTCAGTGAGCCAAGACTGCATGCACTCTAGCCTGGGTGACAGAGACTCCGTCTCCAAAAAGAAAGAAAAGAAAAGAAAAGAAAAAAAGCCTCTAGAACTTTGAATAAAAACTGGGGAAGCCGTTGGCCCTCCTGCCTAGAGCTGTGCCATCCCAGCACTACCGTGGCAGTTGCAGTGGTTTTATTAAGGACGGCTGTGGAAACCAGTAGCTTTTGCCACCCCCAGGGGCTGCCTTGATGTGCGGTAGAAGATGAAGCCTGCCCTGAGAAACGTCACCAGGAAAAGGAGCGAAACTGGGAGGAACCAAAAGAGAAGTGTCCGCTCTGCTGGCCTGTGGCATGGTCCTGGGCGAGGAGAGCAGGGGCCCAGCCAGCAATTTAACAAGGTGAACCTGGAAATGGAGGAGCCAGGGACAGGCTGGATCGGCTCCCCACAACCCCCGGCCAATGTGGGAAATATGCGTCTGCACAGGGGAGACCTGCGGGGGACAAAGGACAGTAAACTGAGGCTGACTTGAAAACCGCCTGAACTTCAGATGACTCCACAGCCACGCTTTGCTGAGATTTTTTTTTTTTTTTCACTTGTTTCAAGCATGTTACAATTTCTCACAGAAGCAGCCTGTCAGCCAGCCTGGCAACACAGCAAGACCTCATGTCTACAAAAAATAAAGTAGCCCGGCATGGTGGCATGCACCTAGAGTCCCAGCTACTTGGGAGGCTGAGAGGTGGGGGCATGGCTTGAGCCCAGGAGGTCGAGGCTGCAGTGAACTGTGATGGTGCCACCGCACTCCAGTCTGGGTGACGGAGCAAGACCCCATCTCAAAAAATAAAAAGACCCTTCTCAGATGACTCAAACCTCTGCGTATCGCAGTTCGTGTCTGTTGATTGTTGGCTCTCATTCAAGTTGAGATTTTTTCTTGTTCCTGGTATAAGTGAGTTTCGGTATAAGACTTGGGCTCTTATTTAAATCTTCCATCTTGGCAGGCCTGGAACACTGCCAGGGGAAGGAAGTGCCATTCACTTCTGACAGGTGAGAGTGGATGTCGGAGTCCCTGTGTGGCCTCCATAGACAACCGGGAACAGGGAGGGGTGCCTCATTATTGCTAGGTATGGGTGGGAGTTGGGACTTCCCACCGGGCCTCTGCTGGCACCATCCTGGCTGGAGGGAGGGGGGCACTACTTACCGCTCCCCACCCGGCCTGTGCAGGGGAGAGGCTTCTCACTCAGTGAGTGAAAATGTGATGGTTAAGTCTTGGTCAGGCGCAGTGGCTCATGCCTGTAATCCCACCCCTTTGGGAGGCTGAGGCAGGTGGATCACTTGCGCCTAGGAGTTTGAGACCAGCTTAGGCAACATAAGGAGATCCCACCTCTACAAAAAATCAATGCATAAAAATAAAAATTAGCCGGGTGTGGCGGCACGTGCCTGTAGTCACAGCTACTTGGGAGGGTGAGGTGAGCTGATCACCCGAGCCAAGGCTACAGTGAGCCATGAACACGTCACTGCACTCCAGCCTGGGCAACAGAGTCAGACCTTGTCTCAAAAAAAAAAGTCCCTACCAGATGATTTAACATCTGCACCATTTCAGTTGGCGTCTGCTGATGGTCTGCTTTTTTTTTTTTTTTTTTTTGAGACGGAGTTTCGCTCTTGTTACCCAGGCTGGAGTGCCATGGCGCGATCTCGGCTCACCGCAACCTCCGCCTCCTGGGTTCAGGCAATTCTCCTGCCTCAGCCTCCTGAGTAGCTGGGATTACAGGCACGCACCACCATGCCCAGCTAACTTTTTGTATTTTTGGTAGAGACGGGGTTTCACCATGTTGACCAGGATGGTCTCGATCTCTTGACCTCGTGATCCACCCGCCTCGGCCTCCCAAAGTGCTGGGATTACAGGCTTGAGCCACTGTGCCCGGCTGATGGTCTGCTTTTGTTAAAAGATTTTCCTTGTTCCTGGTACGTGAGTTTCAGTATTGTAAGACTCAGGTTTTTATTTAAATCCGTTTTTGGCAGAGATGGAACACTGCCAAGAAAAAGCAGCCACTCACTTCCGCCAGGTCAGAGTGGAGTCCAGGTTCCCTACGTGGTTTCCACAGACACCCCAGAACAGGGAAGGGTGCCTCATTACTGCTGGGCATGGGTGGAGGCACGTCCACACTGGGCCTCTGGCTGGCACCCCCCTGGCTGCCCACCTGGCCTGATGGGGGAGGAGCTTCCCACTCAATAGGTGACAGGGACAGCAGGTACCTCTGTACAGTGGGTGAGGGTGGGAATGCAGGCTCCCATTTGATTTGATGATGGAGTTGGGGTCTTTTTCATGGTGTTTGGCTAGAGAATTTTTTTTTTTTTTTGAGACAGTTTCTCACTGTCACCCAGGCTGGAGTGCAGTGGCATAATCTCAACTCACTGCAACCTCTGTCTCTTGGGCTTAAGCAATCCTCCTGCCTCAGCCTCCCAAGTAGCTGGGACTATGGTGTGCACCACCATGCTGGATTTTTTTTTTATATTTTCGGTAGAGATGGGGTTTCACTATACAGCCCAGGCTGGTCTCAAACTCCTGAGCTCAAACGATCTGCCTGCCTCAGCCTCCCAAGTTGCTGGGATTACAGACATGAGTCACCACGCCTGGCCAGATATTGCTATTTACAAGTTTTCTTTCTTACTAGGCTGTCCCTTTCCTAGTTCTTTGCAAGAGAGGACAGGCTCTTGTTGAGGGGTGTGTGTGTGTGTGTGTGTGTGTGTGTGTGTGTGCGTGTGTGTGTCTGAGCCCACTGGTGGTTCCAGGTTGCTGGCTTCTCAAGTGCCCAGCCCAGGATAGAAGGGACAAAAAAGGAACACCAGGGCATCACCATCACGTTGCTCCTCAGGTCCCAAGATCAGTAGCTGATCCTCCTTCTTTTCTCTACTTTTCAGAGGCTCTCTCTGTTTGCGTCTATATAAAGTCCACGGTTTTCAGCTGTGCTTAGCAGGAGAAATAGGAAGTGCATCTATACTACCTCGTCTGGAACCACGAACCTGTTCCCATCCATGACAAAAAGTCTCAACAAACGAGGTACAAAAGGGGAACTTCTTCAGCCTGAGAAAGGGCATCCACAAAAACTCACAGCTAGCGTCACACGTCATGGTGAAAGACCGACTGCTTTCCACCTAAACCAGGGAACCAGGCAAGGATGGCCGCTCTCACTGCCTCAGCTGTGTACCAGAGGTTGACCAAGACAATTAGGCAAGACAAAAAACTGTAAGGTACAGAGATTTGAAAGAAAGACGTCAAACTGTCCCTATTCATAGATGATATGATATCAAATTCAACTGTATCTCTAAATATTGGCAATTAAAAAACCAAAAATCAAAGAAAACAATTCCACCCAAAACAGCATCAACAATAAAAGTGCTTAAACTTAACTTAACAAAAATATAAGACTGGTACACTTAAAACTACAAATCGCTGAAAGAAATTAAAGATCAACATAATGGTACTAGAACAATTGGCTATCCATAAGCAAAAAAGGAAAGTTAGACCCTTACCTCACACACAAAATAACTCAAAATGGATCACAGACCTAAACGTGAGAACTAAAACTGCAAACATTATATAAGAAAATGCGGAGCGCAGTGGCTCACGCCTGTAATCCCAGCACTTTAGGAGGCCGAGGCGGGTGTTTTGCTTGAGGCCAGGCATTGAGACCAGCCTGGGCGACATGACGAAACCCTGTCAGTAATAAGATTACAAAAATTAGCCGGGTGTGATGGGGCCTGCCTCTAATCCCAGCTACTTGGGATATTGAGGCACAAGGATTGCTTGAACCTGGGAAGTGGAGGTTGCAGTGAGCCAAGATCTCACCACTGCACTCCAGCCTGGGCACCAGAGTGAGACTCTGTCTCAAAAAAAAAGAAAAGAAAAGAAATAGAAAATATGACCTTAGGTTAGGCAAAGATTTTCAAAGATATAACACCAAACACTTTCAAAAAATACAAAATGGATAAATTTGGACTTCATCAAATTTTAACACTTTTGCTCTTCAAAGGCACCATTAAGAAAACTCAAAGACACTTTGGAGGCCAAGGCAGGTGGATCACCTGAGGTCAGGAGTTCAAGACCAGCCTGACCAACATGGTGAAATCCTGTCTTTAAAAAAACAAAAACAAAAACAAAACAAAACAAAAAAAACCTCAAAGACAAGCCACAGACTGGGAGAAATATTTGCAAATCATGTGTCTGATAAAGGGCTTATATCCATGCTACATAAAGAACTCTAGGAACTCACTAGAGTAAGATAAACAACTCTATTTAAAATGAGCACAAGTTAATCCCAGCACTTTGGGACGCTGAGGCAGGTGGATCACCTAAGGTCAGGAGTTCAAGGCCAGCCTGGCCCATCATGGTGAAAGCTGTTTCTACTAAAAAATACAAAAGTTAGCCGGGCGCGGTGGCTCAAGCCTGTAATCCCAGCACTTCGGGAGGCTGAGGCGGGTGGATCACAAGGTCAAGAGATCAAGACCATCCTGGTCAACATGGTGAAACCCTGTCTCTACTAAAAATATAAAAAATTAGCTGGGCATGGTGGTACATGCCTGTAGTCCCAGCTATTCGGGAGGCTGAGGCAGGAGAATTGCTTGAACCCAGGAGGCGGAGGTCTTGGTGAGCCGAGATCGCACCATTGCACTCCAGCCTGGGTAACAAGAGCAAAACTCCGTCTAAAAAAAATAAATAAAATAAATAAATAAATAATCTGGGCGTGGTGGCTGGCACCTGTAATCCCAGCTACTTGGGAGGCTGAGATGGGAGGATCACTTGAACCTGGGAGGCAGAGGTTACAGTGAGCTGAGATGGTACCACTGCACTCCAGCCTGAGCAGAGCCAGATCCTGTCTCAAAAAAATTAATAATAATAATTATGGCAAAAATACATTACACAAAATTTATCATTGAACTATTTATAACTGTACAGTCTAGTAATGTTGAGTATTTTACATTGTTGTACAATCTCCAGAATTTTTTCATCTTGCAAAACTGAAATTCTGGACTCATTAAACAATGACTCCCCCTTTCCCCCTCCCCGCAGCCCCGACAAGCTCCATACCGCTCTGGGTCTCTATGCTTTTGACCACTCCAGGGCCCTCATAAACAGAATCATACAGTGTTTATCTTTTTGTGACTGGCTTTTCCCGCTTCACAGAATGACTTCAATGTTCATGTTGTAGCCTGTGTCAGAATTTCATTCCCTTTTTCTTTTTCTTTTTCTTTTTTTTTGAGACTGAGTCTTGCCTGTCACCCAGGTTGGAGTATGGTGGCACGATCTCGGCTCACTGCAACCTTCACCTCCCGGGTTCAAGTGATTTCCTGCCTCAGCTTCCTGAATAACTGGGATTACAGGCGCCCGCCACCATATCCGGCTCATTTTTGTAATTTTAGTAGAGATGGGGTTTTACCATTCTGGCCCAGCTGTTCTCAAACTCCATAACTCAGGTGATCCACCCACCTTGGCCTCCCAAAGTGCTGGCATTACAGGCATGAGTTACTGCGCCTGGCCCTAGAATGTCCTTCCTTTTTAAGTAATATTGCATTGTATAAATGGGTGGATTTTAAAATAAAAACAACAGGCAGAATCCAGGACAGGGACTACTGGGGCAGGGGCTGAATAGAGGTGGGCGTGTGGAGGCTGGGAGCCGGGCCGCCCTGTGTTTTTGATCTGGCTGCTGGTTAACTGGGTGGATTCACATTTTCACATCGTAAGAATTCGCCGAACTCTGCACTTAGGGTACTCACTCTTCCCCACAGGTGTTCATCTTCAATAAAACATTTTCTACAGAATCCCTGTTGAGACGACCTCACAGTATTATTCTGAGGCTCACATAGCACCTGGTAACTACGAGCTGCTTGGCACAGGCGAGAGCTGTCAGGGATCTGGACGGCTGGTCTGAGTTTAAGCAGCCAGCTCCCCCTAGGCCCAGGTTGCGAGGTTTTCTTTAGCTCAACCCTGAGTCTCACTCACCCCACATTTGGGAAACATTTGACATGATTCGATTTGTGTTCCAAACAAGGATTAATGAAAGAACTCCTAGTCCTGGCCCTGCTGCCTGCCCTCTCTGCTGCACATGCCAGCGCTGTCCCCGAGGACACTCTCCACGTCCCCACTCTGCTGAGGCTGAGACTCACTCTGCAGGTCAAGGATCACCACTTTCTTTGCCACGCCCATCTCGTTCTCTGCCAGGCACTGGTACTGTCCCGCGTCGTCCCTCTGTAAGTGGGCACAGGAGGGGGGGCATGGTGCTCAGAGAAGAGGAAGAGTGGCTCAGACACCTGGGTAGGGGACCGGGGCCAGCCAGGGGCACCTGAACCCCCCCAGAGCATCAGAAGGGCTCGTGGCCACTTGTTAACAGACACACAAAGAGGATCCAGCCCCTTTTCACGCCCGAAACTGGGGGTGGTGACTAAGGTCCTTGTTGCCCTAGGTGGAATGTCTTGCTGGAAAAGCACGGTTTAGATCCACCTCTTCCAAACCGTGTCCACTGAAATCTTACTGTCCCATAGCACACGATTTGAGCTTCCTTGGAAAAAAGGATTCCATGGTCAATAAGTTTCGGAGACACTGAGTTAGACAACATGTTATGGTGCTTTGGAAATCAATAACTACAGGAAAACAAGAACATTAGACACCTCTGTTGTACAAACAGTACTAAAGTCTGAACTGCAGGACTTCTCAGGGCATTTACTGTGCCTGTGTGCAAAGTGAGTCTTCCATAAGGGAGACGGTTGGCAGCGTTTCCCTAACAGGTGGTCAATGGACTTGTGGCGGAATTCGGTAGCGTGCTGGCTCACATCACTTCCGAGTGGCAGCACCACCAGGAGATGGGGCTGGGGCAGTCTGAGGCCACTGTCCACTCCCAGAAGATGGCATCGGGGGGGGGTCACACCCAAGGGACTCCGGGGGACAGCATGGCACAAAGTTAAGAGTGTAGGTTTGGAGGTCAGACTGACACGAGACTGAATCCCAGCCCCACTGCTTACTGCCCTGAACCCATTACTTATGACATTTTCATGCTCCTGAAGCCCCAGTTTTCCCTTCTGTAAAATGGGAGTGATCACTGCTAGGATCTTTTTTATTTTTTATTTTTTTTAAAGATGGGGTTTCACCATGTTGGTCAGGCTGGTCTTGAACTCCTGACCTCAGGTGATCCACCGGCCTTGGCCTCCAAAGTACTTGGATTACAGGCGTGAGCCACCGCGCCTGGCCGACTGCTAGGATCTTATAAGCATTAGATGGAATAATGCTTGCTAAGTGTGAGGCCCCGTGCCTGGCCCACAGTTAGTACTTGGGTAACAGGAGCCATTATTACCACTGCTCTTACTGCTACTCTGATTACTAGTCCTATTATTATTACTACACAGAGAAAGGCTCCCAAATGGGTGAGATCAAGGCCCCGAAGATGAACTTGAGTCAGACTGACTTGGGGATTTCCGCACAATCATCAGAACTTGAGACACAAAATGGAAGTTGAGTGGGGTTTCACCAGGACCCAAGGCTTTGGAAACAGCATGGAGCCAGAGGCAGGAGACCTGGGGGTGGGGGGCCCTGTCTCCTGCAGTTATTGGTTGTGGGCCTCTATGAACTTCAGTGTCTTCATCTGGGCCAGGCACAGTGGCTCACACCTGTAAACCCAGCACTTTGGGAGGCTGAAGCAGGTGGATCACGCGGTCAAGAGATAGAGATCATCCTGGCCAACATGGTGAAATCCCATCTCTACTAAAAGCACAAAATTAGCTGGGTGTGGTGGTGCACACCTGTAGTCCCAGCTACTCAGAAGGCTGAGGCAGGAGAATCGCTTGAACTCGGAGGTTGCAGTGAGCTGATATCACGCCACTGTATTCCAGCCTGGCAACAGAGCGAGACTCCGTCTCAAAAAAACCCAAAAACCAAAAAACAGTATCTTTGTCTATAAATAGAGAGCATTATTACCTGCCTACCCTGCCCCCTGAGGTTGTTAATGATAACATTTTGGGGGCCTTACCCACAGATCTCTCTTAAACAATGGGTATGAGTCACCTCACTGATTTCTCATTACAGTCCTATGAGGGAGAAAGAATTTGCTCCATTGAAAGGGTGGATGATGGAGGCACAGAAAAGCCCGGTGGTTGCAGGTTACTATTGGTGGTAGTGGGAGGGACGTCTAGGGAATGGACAGGAAGGTGCTTTGTAGACTGCAGAAGCAGGGGTTGGAGGCAACATGAGAACCCTCCTGAGCAATCAGAAAAAGTGTAGAGTTGTCCTTGGTGGCCCCACCCAAGGTACCAGGCCCCGCCTTGCCTCAGTCCTGCGGATGGTCAGTGAGCCATTCTGTAGCTGGTGCCGGAGATGGCTGTCCCGCAGTGGAAGGCCATCTTTGATCCAGCGGATGTCCGGTGCTGGGTCTCCACTCACCACACAGTCTAGCTGGATACTGCCACCCACAGGTTCCACGAGGTAGGAGAAAGCCTCTCCTTGTAGGACAGGAGCCTCTGTATGGGGTGACATTGAGTGAGTTGGCAGAAAAGAGGTTCCCTGCAGCCTCAGCCTCCCATAAACCCATCTCTAAAGATCTGCCCAACCCCTGCCTCCAGGGACCTCCAGAGGCTCCTGCTAGCTCAGGATGATTGTGTGTAGTCAGTGCATCAGGGATAGCAAACAGTGTCCATGTCATGGGCCAAGTCATGAAGACCGGGAGTAGTTTCCAGGAACTGTGCTGAGAAACATCTGAAGCTGAATGAGAAGAGTGCTGTGATCGATTAGTGATGCCTGAGATGGGCACAGGCAGGAACACAGCGTTAGGCGTGTCATCTACTCTCTCTCACAGATGGTGATTGATTAGTGGTGCCTGCAATGGGCACGGGCAGGAACACAGTGTTAGGCGTGTCATCTACTCTCTCTCACAGATGGTGATTGATTAGTGGTGCCTGCAATGGGCACGGGCAGGAAACGCATGTCATCTACTCTGTCTCACAGATGGTGATTGATTAGTGATGCCTGAGACAGGCACAGGCAGGGACACAGTGTTATGTGTGACATATACTCTCTCACAGATGGATTATATTAGCAGCAGAGTGCCTGCAGGGTACTTTGGAAATCGATAACTATAAAAAAACAAGAACCCTAGACACCTCTGTTGTTACGAAGCAACACTATGAGATTCACGCTAATCTCAAAACACTCTTGGATGCTCTGGGCTGGCTTATATCCTTGCTGGTTTCCTGAGGTTGGATCTACCAAAAGCTGGTACCATCCAGCTGCAGGTTGTGCTATAGGGCAATTGGTCAGATTCTGTTTCTACCTGCAGCCAAGGTCATCTTGGGAGTGTCAAAAATACTGATGCCCAGGCCTCACCCCAGAGATGCTGGCTTACAGAGTTGGAGGTAGAACATGGGCTTCGGGATTTTATAAAGTCCCCCAGGGGATTCTAACGCGTAGCCAGGGTAGGGAGCCACTAGTTCAGAGGACAGGAGGGCGGGTTCTTAGGAAACCCATACGTTGGGTTCCAATAGACTGGAGGTCTTGAGAGACAAGTCACCTGGGGAACGCGCCCTACCCTTCACATGGACGAAGCTGACCGCCTGCACGCGACCCACTCTGTTCTCCGCCCAGCAGACATAGGTCCCACTGTCTTCTCTGGAGACAGCTGCCCGCTGCAGCGTGCTGCCCCCATCCTGCTCGGACACTCCTTCTGTGGGGGAGAAAGCAGCTTGAGGGGACTCTGAGTTGGGTGCAGGGAACTCCTGCCCGAAACGCTTCCCTGGAGCCTGGATACCTGCAGGAACTTAATAAAGATGCAGAAACAGATGGGAGTCCTGGGTGAAGGCTGACCGAGTCAGGCCCGTTCCTGGGAGGCAAGGCTGCACTGGAGGCTGCAGTTAACGAGCCTGCCTTCTACCACTTCCAGTGCACACTGTGTGTTCGATAAATGGTCAAGGGCAGGTCTTTGTGGAACTCTCAGCACAGGGCACTCACTGATGCACCGCTATGATTTCTAGAGAGGGTTTTTTGTTTTTTTTTTTTTTTGAGACAGAGTTTTGCTCTTGTTGCTCAGTTTGGAGTACAGTGCAATGGCGCGATTTTGGCTCACTGCAACCTCTGCTTCCCCAGGTCAAGCAATTCTCCTGCCTCAGCCTCTCGAGTAGCTGGGACTACAGGTACATGCCACCATGCCCAGCTATTCTTGTATTTTTAGTAGAGACGGGGTTTCACCCTCTTGGCCAGGCTGGTCTTGAACTCCCAACCTCAGGTGATCCACTCACCTCGGCCTCCCAAACTGCTGGGATTACAGGCGTGAGCCACCATGCCCAGCCAAGGGAAGGACTCTAATAATGGACTTTTCCTTTGGGGTTAGCCATTGCCTCTAGGAGAGGAATAAGGACCAACATCACCATCAGCGGGGCATCTACTCGGGGCCAGGTCTGTGCCTAGGCGGCTTCTCCATCGTCATTCTGACCTCAGGACCCCTGGTTTTGTCCATTTGACAAAGAGCTGAGCTCAGAGAGGCCAAACTATTATACTTGCCCAAGGTCCCTGCCCGGAAGCAGTGGGGCCCAGCAAAGCCTTCACCACAGGTGTGCACAGGCATTCCACACCTGGGGACTCAGAGCTGGGAGCGTGTGATATCATACCCTAACGTAGGAAAGTCTCATTTTGCAGTGGAGGGGACTTAGCAATTTTTCAATTCAGCAGGCATTCAGTGAGTACCCACCAGGTACTCCACAGGCCCCGCGCCTCCCTAGACATTACCTGGGTTTCAGGTAGGAGGACAGAGCCCCCCACTCCCTCCCTCCCAGCAAAAGGGGTTTGCTGAGGGTCCCACCATGGGAGCAGCAGCTCTGGGCTGGAACACAGGTCTCCCCCTCCTAGCCCTGAGGTCTCTGGGTTGAGTCTTCTCAGGTGGCCTCTTGCCAGCTCTGATATATGGCTTGTCACATATGGCCACAGCTGGGTTTGCCTTGTCCCTCTACACAGGGCCAAGTTGGAAGACCCAGAACGAGTAGGGCTGGTTCACAGCCTCTTCCTGTCCGCTAGGCTGGGGCTCCCCACCTGCCCTCCCTTCTTGACCTCCCGGGGTCCTGACTCTCTGTCCCACCCACACCCAGCAGACCCAGACCTGTGACTGGCCGGTCGTTGACGGTCCAGCCAATGCGAGGGGTGGGGCTGCCCCGGGCTGCACAGCGGAGCCACAGCCTGTCCCCGAGTCGCAGGCTGCGGTCCCCAGGCAGGGTGGTGAACACGGGCAGTGCCATAACGGTGAGGTGCACACGGCGGCGGGCCCGGCCTACAGCGTTCTCTGCAGTACAGGTGTAGGTGCCTGCATCCTGGCCCTGTGAGCAAAAGAAAGGGGTTGGCTGGAGAACTGTCCCCGGCCTCGGCCTGGGTTGGGATGCCCCTGGGACCCACTTCATTGAAGGTTCTCATGGCACATCCAGCCCAGAGAGGTGAAGTGACTTGCCCAAGGTCACACAGCTAGCAAACGGGTCAGCATCACCACCACGCCCCTGCCCCGTCCTGCAGTCTTCACAGGCTCTGCTCCTTCATAACCCCAGCCCTGACTGCCTGAGCACAACAGTTACTGTTTACCGAGCACCTACTGCGTGCCGCCCTGTGCTTAGAACTTGACCTGCACGGGCAGGGCTTGCTTTTGGTGCCTGACAGAGCGCCCAGCAGGGGCTCCAAGGGGAGGAGTTTCGTGGTGCATTCAAGCAGGGCCGGTGCGCTCACCACTGCACTGCCAGGCTCCCTGGATGGCCACGCCAATGCCCCTGACCCCTCTAGGTGTGTCCACTGAGCCCATCTGGAGAGGGTCTCATCACAGAACTGCAGAATCTGATGCGTGCTGAGGGGAAGGGGGTCAGGAGTCCCACCCACACCCCTGGCTCAACACTCCCCAAAGCCCAGAGGACGGTCAATGCCAATGCATGGCTGAGAAGAAATGGGGAGACTATCGGGACACAAAGTCATTGCCGTACCCCGAGCCCCAGTCCAGGTCCCCCCCTTCCCCAGGTTCCCCAGGAGCTGGCTGCCAAGGTCCAGGTTCACATTTGGGTTCTGCCTCTTGGCAATGGTGGGCAACTAGGTACACTCTGAGCCTCAGTTCTGGCCGTCTGTACCCGGGAGGGTAACGCCGATTTCCCCAGGCTCCCGGGGTTAAAGGCTGCACCGAGCTTGGCGCAGAGCCGGACAAACAGGGGCCTCAGCCACTCTTCCCTGCTGTGCGCTCGGGGCAGTGCCTCACCTCCAGATCCTTCACCAGCAGCTCTCCAGAAGGCTGGATGGTAAACTTCCCCTCAGCGCCCCACACGGGCTGGCCGTCTTTGTCCCACGTGATGTTGGGCTCGGGACTGCCCCTGGCCTTGCAAGGCAAGAAGGCGTGGGAGCCTTCGGTGGTGGACAGGTCTGGGAGGCCGTTCTCGATCATGGGTGGGACTGCGGGCAGAGGGAGGCCCACTTGGAACCGGGGCTGGGGGAGACAGACGGCTGACCCCAGCACAGGGCCCTTGGCCTTTGGCCCAGCCCTTCAGCCTTCCCTGGCCATCAGGTGCCCCCTCCAACTCCCTAGTCATAGGCCATTGCCTGTGGTCAGGATGATCTGGGGACTCCCTCAGTTTGGTGAAGCGGTGACAGTTACGGCATTGCACCTTCCATATGTGTACACACACACACATGCACACGCACACGCACACACACACACAGATGACTAAAAGCTACAGGACAGAGGCCTTGGGCAGGGTCCACTTGGGCACAGACTTCTCGTACCAGGCCACCCCAGGACCAAAAGCAGCGAAGCGGTGCTGGGCAGGGTGAGGGTCACCAGCTTGGTGTCTGACTGCTCTGGTGACCAGCAATGCTCCGGGTCCGAGGGGAGAGGAGCACGCTGGACAGTGAGGTGCAGAGGAAGCCTGGAGCCAGCAGCCCCTCTGAGTTCACAGCCAGAGTCCGACCCCAGCCCCACACAGCCGCGGGCGGGGACGGCCACGGAGACACCACAAAGCAGGCCTCTGGGGCCAGGACACGACTGGCCCATACTGAATACTCCCAGCAGACTTTGCAGATTTTTTTTTTTTTTTTTTTTTTTTTTTTTGGACAGAGTTTCGCTCTTGTTACCCAGGCTGGCGTGCAATGGCGCGATCTCGGCTCACCGCAACCTCCGCCTCCTGGGTTCAGGCAATTCTCCTGCCCCAGCCTCCTGAGTAGCTGGGATTGCAGGCACGCGCCACCATGCCCAGCTAATGTTTTGTATTTTTAGTAGAGACGGGGTTTCACCATGTTGACCAGGATGGTCTCAATCTCTTGACCTCATGATCCACCCGCCTCGGCCTCCCAAAGTGCTGGGATTACAGGCGTGAGCCACCGCGCCCGGCTGACTTTGCAGATTTTTGGCCAGCGATGCCATCTTATTTTGACACTAATGACCAAACTAAGGGAAGGGCACATGTAATTGTGTGTGTGTTGTGTGTGCCAGGGTAGGGCCAGAGAGGCTACAGTTGCTGGAAACCAGAAGGAATGAGAGCTGCTAGACTCGTGTTCCAGGAGAGCCAGAGAGGAGGCAGAGGGGATGGGAGTTCGTGTCTGAATCCAGAACTCAGGCATCCAATAGAGGTGTTTTTCCCATAATTCCTTCTGGAACTATAAGCAGTGTGGCCTGCCAGGCAGGGAAGGGAGAAGCTTGCAGGAGCCTCAAGCCCCGCAGTTGCCAGGGCCCAGCTCGGCCCCAGCCTCACACCCACCTTGCACCACCAGCCGCGTTTTCCCCACAGCACTGCCTGCACTGTTCTTGGCGATGCAAAGGTAGTTTCCAGCATCCTCTGGGCTGGCATGGGTAATCCACAGCTGTCCACCAGGTAGGACCTGGGTACTCACTCCTGAATGAGGAAGAAGAAAACTGGGGGGCTGGGAGCTGGGATGGGGGACCCCCAAGGTGGGTAGATTGGGCTATTCTGTCTCATAGGCAGCAAATGACTTGCTGGGGTCACAGAGTGGCCAAGGGACAGAAAGAGCCAAGAAGCCTGACCCACAGCCCAGCCCAGCTGCCTCCTCCTGACCTCCCAACTTGGCCACTGAGTGCTCAGATGGCATCTCATGGTGACAGGAGAAGTGTTGGGGAGAGGGCGGCCAGAGCAAGGGTGGAGGCGTGTCTAGGCAGGCCAGGGGCTTCCTGGGACCTCTCAGCAGCTCTGTGGGGTCTCCCAGGACAGGAAGCAGGGCCCCCTAGCCCCACACTCTTCTCTTCCCTTCCCAGGCTGGCTGCCAGGGGCCCTCACCTGCAGGGACATTGAGCCCTTCCCTCTGCCAGGTGATGGTTGGCCGGGGGATGCCCAAGGCCTCGCAGGGAAGCAGCACCCCGTCTTCCGCCACAGCCCGAACCACGCTGGGCAGCGGCTTCACCACTGGGGAGGCTGCAAAGAACAGGGGTGCAGAGGGCGCTGAAAATGTCCTTAACACACAGCCCTCCATCCAGGGGGCTTGGAGTGCCAGAGAGCGAGGCCTCTAGGAGAACGGGGTTCTAGAAACATCGACGCAGCAACAAGGACACCGTGGCTGATTCTTTTCCTCCCAAAGAATCCCATGAGAGGCAGGTCTGCGCCTCTGAGACCCAGGACCTCACCTACAGCCTGAGCCCCACCTGCCTCTAGCTCTCCACCTGCTCCCAAGGAACTCTGGGGTCTGGGCCACGGACCCTTACCTTGCACGGTGAGGACGACGTGCTTGTGGGCTACGCCAGCAGAGTTGCGGGCTGAGCAGGTGTAGCGGCCCGCATGGATGGGGAGGGCCTGCCCGATCTCCAGGGCGCCTGCAGGTGGAATCAGGGTGAGGGAATCAGGACAGAGGTCCCGAGGGATGGAGGTGGCAGGGCTGCTACACAACCACACTCTGTCTCTGGTTACTCAACCTGCCTCCTCTGACCATTTACAAATAGCCCGGGGGATGAGACTGCACGGGAACCTGGAATCTAGGTTTGCCTCTGTGCCCTGACCAAGGGAGAGGCATGGGCAAGTTCCTTCCACTCTCCGGACCTCAGTTTTCCCATGTGTGCAATGAAGAATCAGACAAGATGGTCTCTAGACCCTTTTGGCTATGAGGTTCCAGGATCTTCGACTTCCCCGCCTGTAATCCCCCGCTCACAGATCCACACCCTGCTGTTCTCACCTTGTTCTGCTAAAAACTCACCTCCTCTAGGAAGCCTCCCAGGATTAGTGCCTCCTCTGTCCTCCCTTTACCCTCCTGGCCTTAGCCCTGGTTGCTTGGTGAACACCATTTTAACCTTCCCAGACTGCAGGCTGCACCTTGGCAGCCGAGTGACAAGGGCTCTAAATTGTCCTCTGTGGACCCCTGGGGGCCTCTTGGGTGGGGGAAGGGAGCAAGGCCCATTGCACCCTGGCCACCCACAGCCCCTGCCCCTGCCCCAGCCCCAGACGGAACCAGAACTGTGCTTTGTTTTACTTGTTGGACCTTGCTGTTACCACTTACTGCACTTATCAGAAGGAAGCTTTTGTTTTGTATTTTGTTTTGAGACAGAGTCTCACTCTGTTGCCCAGGCTGGAGTACAGTGATGCAATCATAGCCCACTGCATCTTTGAACTCCTATGCTCAAGCGATCCTCCTACCTCAGTTTCCCAAGTAGCTGGGGCCACAGGCATGCACCACCAAACCCAGCTAATTTTTAAAAATTTGTTTGTAGAGATGGGGTCTTGCTGTGTTGCCCCTGCTGGTCCCAAACTCCTGGCTTCAAACAATCCTCCTGCCTCAGGCTCCCAAAGTGCTGGAATTACAGGTGTGAGTCCCTGTGTGCGGCCCAGAAGGAAGTTCTGTTGCTTCGGAACAGTTTGAAAATCACAGGTCTGGCCAGTGGTTCCTAGATTTCAGGATTTCACTAACCAACTAACAAATAAATATGGAGATTCTCCATAAAGCTTCCAGCTTGTTATTTTGACAAGCAAAGACATTTAAAAAATCACACTAGGCCAGGCACGGTGGCTGTCACTCCAGCCTGAGGCTGAGGAGGGCAGATCACCTGAGGTCAGGAGTTTGAGACCAGCCTGGCCAACAGGGTGAAACCCTGTCTCTACAAAAATACAAAAATCAGCCAGGCATGATGGTGGGTGCCTGTAATCTCAGCTACTCGGGAGGCTGAGGCAGGAGAATCTCTTGAACCCGGGAGGAGGAGGCTGCAGTGAGCAGAGATTGTGCCACTGCGCTCCAGCCTGGGTAACAGAGCGAGATTCCATCTTAAAAAAAAACCGGGCCAGGCACAATGGCTCACACCTGTAATCCCAGCACTTTGGGAGGCCGAGGCGGGTGGATCACGAGGTCAAGAGATCGAGACCATCCTGGTCAACATGGTGAAACCCCGTCTCTACTAAAAACTACAAAAAATTAGCTGGGCATGGTGGCGTGTGCCTGTAATCCCAGCTACTCAGGAGGCTGAGGCAGAAGAATTGCCTGAACCCAGGAGGCGGAGGTTGCGGTGAGCCGAGATCGCGCCGTTGCACTCCAGCCTGGGTAACAAGAGCGAAACTCCGTCTCAAAAACAAACAAACAAACAAACAAACAAACAAAAAAACCAAAACCAAAACCAAAAACCATGTACTATTATCTGAATCTCATCATGAAAAGGAAGTTTCAACACCAAAAGATAATTTCAGAATAAAGGACAATTCTTCTGAAGGGATAAAACCAGGCTTACAAAGGCTCCCAGGGAGCAGCTGTTTTTCTTATTTTGCTGTGAAACAGCACTTGTATGCCAGAGGGCCCCAGGAACTGATGGGTCTCAACACTGCAGAGCATGGAGGAGAATATGGAGCTCAGGGAGGGTGAGAGGGTCCTCCCAGGTCACACAGCCAGGAGAGGCAGAGCCAGGCCAGACTGTCCTATCTTGTTCTACCATGTGACCTTCTTTCACCCCCTCCACCTGCTGTCCCAGTCTCCCCTCGGCTGCCTCTCTCTGTGGTCACCCTTATTTACCCGATGGTGAGACGCGATAGCCGCTCCCCCGCGCTCCCAGCTGGGCGCCTGCCTTGCTCCAGGACACGGTCGGGGCTGGTATGCCTGTGCTATGACATGTGAGGACCACAGGTGCCATCATGGTCACGGTGAAGTCTGTCTGGTCGTCGGCAATGGTGGGAGGCACTGAAAGCCAAGACAAGGCTTGAGGCCCTACCGGCAGGCACGGGCGACACACGGCTGTGGGGCGGGGGCAAAGCTAGTACACAAGGTGACGTTCGTGACAAAGGGCCAGGGAGGGAGGTGGGGCAACAGAGGGAGAAGTCACATTTGCCCACTCAGCAAATCCTTCTGGGCACAGGGCTACAGCTTTCTTTCTTTAAAAGAAAAAAAAAGTGTACTTTTTCAGAGATGGGGTCTCACTATGTTGCCCTGGCTGGAATGCAGGGGACATTTACAGGTATGATCCTACTGCTGATCAGCACGAGAGTCTTGACCTGCTCTGTTCTGACCTGGGCAGCTTCACCCCTCCTTAGGCAACCTGGCGGTCCCTGCTCCCAGGGGGTCACCATAGTGATGCTGAACTTAGTGTGAGCACCCACTCAGCATAGTGCACTACAGCCCAGAACTCCTGGGCTCCAGCAACCCTCCCACCCCAGCCTCCAAGTAGCTGGGACTACAGGCAAATGCCACCGCACCCAGGGGGATACAGCTTTCTATGGAGACCCTGGCCTAGTAACTTCGCAGGGGTTTACTCGTGGGTTTCCCACTTGGAGTGAGGGAGGCCAGAGAAGACCCCCACGGGAAGTGCCATTTAACCCGAGATCTGAAGGAAAAGCAGGTGTTGGCTGAGTGAAGGGAAGTGTGTTCCGGCAAAGGGAACAGCATGTGTGAAGGCCTTGAGGCAAGGAACAAAAAGCTGAGCAGCTCGATTAGACCCTGGAGTGAGGCAGGTCTGGTGTGAACTGAACCTGGGGGCTTGGCAGGCCAGACCACACAGGACCTGGTGGGTCCAGCTAAACTCTTGCATTCTATCCTGAGGGCAATGGGCAGCTGTTGAGGGAGGGATTTTTAACAGGGGTGATGACAAGGTCAGACCTAAGTTTAGAACATTCTGGATTGGGGAGGGGTGGGCCTCTCCCATGAGCTCCCGTGTGCCAGGAACTGTGCCGGAGTTGGGGTTAAGTCAATGTGACTGGGGAGGATCTGAGATGCCTTCCTGGAGGAGGTGTCCAGTGCAGCACGGGCAAGCCACACAATTCCCTGCAGACAGGGAGAGCACCCAAGAGTGGGAAGGCACTGCCCCCACCCCAGGCGTCCTCCTCCACCTCCTCCCTGACTCACCGTGGACGGTCACTTGGTAGAGCCTTCGGGCCTCGCCCACCTCATTGCTCACCACACACTCAAACTGGGCTGAGTCCTGGGGGCCGGGGGCCTCGAGGAGCAGGGCGTTGGAGGGCAGGAGCCTGGGGCAGAGAGATGGGTGGCCGAGTGGCTGCTGGGCTGACAGAGACCAGTCGTGGCTTTCCGGCTGGGCTGTCTGGATGTGGGGGTCTCACACCCATTTCCCCTTCCTGTATCCGGCCTCCATCCCTGACTCTAGAATTGTCTTCTAGAAGTTTCTACCCCAAAGTTCTAGCTGGTGGATTTGTGATTTTCATTTTTATCCGTTTCTCCGTAACCCTGCACGTTTATTACAATAACCACCTATGATACCTTCTGTAATAACAACCGCGTCAAAGTGGCTCAGAGTCTTAGTTGCTGATTTCATTTTTACTAAGTCTAGGCTTGTTACATTGGTTTTCCAATTTTTTAAAATTGACATTCTATGTTTTCTTTTTTTTGAGACAGGGTCTCATTCTGTTTCCCAGACTGGAGTGCAATGGCACCACGACAGCTCACTGCAGCCTCGACCTCCCAGGCTCAAGGGATCCTCCCACCTCAGCCTCCCAGGTAGCTGGGACTACAGACCATGCACTGCTAATTTTTGATTTTTTTGTAGAGATGGGGAATCTCACTATGTTGCCCAAGCTGGTCTTGAACTCCTGGCCTCAAGCAATCCTCCCACCTCAGCCTCCCAAAGTGCTGGGATTAGCACCACGCCCCGTTCATGTTTTGTTTTTAGACAAGGAGTGACTCTGGTGGATATAAAGCCCAGACGTCTCTGCTGAGTTCTCTGTCCCCAGTGCCCTCACCCCTGTCTCGGTGTGAAGACCCCCTGATCCCCAAAGTTGAAACACCAGTTCTGGTCCTGGCTCCTGTGAGACCTGAGCATATCCCGCTCCGTCCCTGCCCCCTGCCTCCCCACCCCATGCGTCTCAGGAAGTCACCACAAGGTCCAGTCATTACCGGTAGGCACCCTGCTGCAGGCGGAAGTCCAGCTTCTGTCCATCCTTCCACCAGACCACCAGGGGCTTAGGGGAGCCGCTGGCCTCACAGGGCAGCGAGGCTGGGGTGTGGGCGGTCAGGGTCAGGTTGGAGGGGCTGGGGGCGATGGCTGGAGGCTCTGGGGAGAGCGCAGTGGTCAGGAGACAGGTACAGGGGGCTGGCGGCTCTCTGAGGCTGTGCCCAGGGGCAATGCCACTGCCTCCCACCTTCCGCCCATCCCTGAGGGGGCACAGAGGGAGAGGGCAGGAGAAACTTCAAAGGGAGAGCTTCCAATAGGCTCCCGAAGCTGACCGTTTTGGGCTTTCCCCATCCCTAAGCCGGGCAGCCTCTCACTGCCTTTCCTTGACCGAGGCCTCCAGGATGCCAGGCTCCACTCCCCATCAGCCCCACCTGAGGCTGGGCCCCGCCAGGGCAGCCCCACATAAGCTGATCCATTGGAGTGGGAGGAGATTGGGGCAAATGATTCTACTGATTTTGAATTTTATCCTTTCAGGTGTTTTACCTTTTTTTTTTAGACAGAGTCTCACTCTGCCGCCCAGGCTGGAGTGCAGTGATGTGATCATGGCTCCCTGTCGCCTGAAACTCCTGGGCTCAAGTGACCCTCCCACCTCAGCCTCCCAAGTAGCTGGGACTACAGGCATGTGCTACCATGCTTGGCTAATTAAAAAAAATTTTTTTGTAGAGATGGCGTCACACTGTGTTGCCCAGTTTGGTCTCGAACTCCCGGGATCAAGCAGTCCTACTGCCCTGGCCTCCCAGACTTGTGTTATTTTCTGTGCATGCTTTCTTACTGAATAGAACCGTTCTGTTACGTAGCTTATGCACTAAAGTACCACTGTGTCCTTTGAGCGTGCGTGATCACAACTTTCTACTAATGGGCTTCATGGTCAAAAACATTTGAAGACCACTGGCTCTGGGCTCCTGACAGCTGGGGTGACCCAGAAACTAAGCAGGACTGGACCCTGACAGGAACTGAACTCTGAAGCCCTTCCCCAGGCCACCTACCAAAGACCTGGAGGTTGCGGCCTTGACGATCGGAGCCAGCAGAGTTGGATGCCAGGCAGAGGTAGTGGCCGTTGTCCTGGGCAAGGGCTGGCTGGATCCTCAGGGAACCCTCAGGCAGAACTTCGAACCTGGAAAGGATGGTGGGGGTTTCCCTGGAGATGGGCAGGGCCAATGGGGCTGGAGGAGGGCTGTCTCCACCAAGTCCCTTCCCTCTGACTGCACTATCAGAGAGGATGCTGATACAGTTTGGCTCTGCGTCCCCACCCAAATCTCATCTTGCAGCTCCCATAATTCCCACATGTTGAGGGAGAGACCCAGTGGGAGATGATGGAATCCCGGGGGCGGGTCTTTCCCATGCTGTTCTAGTGATAGTGAATGGGTCTCAGGAGTTCTGATGGCTTTAAAAACTGAAGTTTCTCTGCACAAGCTGTCTTTGCCTGCTGCCATCCACGTAAGACGTAACTTGTTCCTCCTTTCCTTCCACCATGATTGTGAGGCCTCCCCGGCCATGTGGGACTATAAGTCCAATAAACCTCTTTCTTTCGTACATTGCCCAGTCTCAGGTATCTCTTTATCAGCAACATGGAAATGGAGTAATACAGATGCTAACTTGGAGGTGAGAGTCTTGCATCTGTGAGGCCAAGGTCGGGGAGTCAGAACCATGGGCGGCTCTCTACACCCCAGGCCAACATTGGAAAGACAGAGAGAAGGGCTGCTTTGGGCCTCCCCGACACTGTCCGGGGCCTGGCCTCTCCTGAGACGCAGAAGGAGCCCCATCCTGCTCTTCCTTAGGGCAGTCCCTAGATCTTAAATGTGCCCTTCCCAAGATCCATATCTGTACTGTGCAATCCCGCCCCCGGCCACAGTTGATTGGACAGGGGATGGACATGTCACTCAGGCTGGGCCAATGATATTCTGTGCTCTGGGAATTTAGAATTGGAATTCACAGATGGCTCACTAGTGAGCCGAGGAGCTGTAAACCTGGGGCTGGGGGCCATGGGGGTGTCAGAGGGTCTGTTTTTGTCATGTTCACTGAGCAAGAAGGTGAGGGAGAGAATGAAGCCCACACTGAGAGAAGCTATAAAACCATCAGCGCTTGTGAGACCCATTCACGCCCCTCTACCCGCATCTATTAAGGCTTCCGATCAAGTCAAACAAGCAAGAGCCCTTCATGAGTGGTGGGCCTGTCCTTGTGTTCTTAGACACCCCACATCCTGATGATAAAGTCACTTTTCTGCTCCAACTGCCCAAGTGAGTTTTGTTTACAACCCTCAAAGAGGCACCTGAGGGCCTCCCTGAGGCCCACGCCTTCCCTCTCTCACCTGGGGTTCCTGGGATCCAGGGGGACCCCGTCCTTCCGCCAGCTCACGAGGGGTGCGGGCACGCCGTCGGCCTGGCAGGGCAGCAGGGCTGTCTGGTTCACTGAGACGTTCACTGAGGGCGGTCCTGATCGGATGGTGGGCACCGCTGGAGAGGGGCACAGAGGGAATGGGGCTGGGAGCTGCGGCTCTAAGACGGTGGGCAGGGTGGGGTGGGGTGGGCCCTACTCACTGTGGATCTCCACGCGGAGGGCCACACTGGTGCTGCCCGCGGCGTTGCGGGCTGTGCAGCTGTAGTCGCCGCTGTCGGCCGTGCTCAGGGCCTGCAGCTGGAGGAACCGGCCCTGCTCCGGGAACTGTGTGTGGGCATCCTCCTGGAGAGTCCGCCAGGGTGGAGAGACCCTTATCAGTGCCCGGCTGTGCTAGACCAGCCCCTGGCACCAGGCATGGAGGACTGAGGAACCCGTGAGGCTGGACAGTGGCTCTGTCCTTCCAGGCTGACCGCAGGCCCTGACTGTGTCCCACAGAGGACCCGCTGAGGAAATGCACTCCTCTGGGAGGAAATACAACCCCAGTCCCTGAAGTTCCTGTCAGAACACCCACAACCCTGGAATCCACAGCCGCAAACTGACCCCATTTGAGGGATGGATAAAGAGCGACTTGGTCACAGGCCCAGGCCACCCAGCCGCTAGCACAGCTTGAAGGAGCCAGGGGGAGAACACTGGGTGGGCCTCAGAAGCCCTGAGTGACCTGAGCCTCGCCTCAGTGTCCCCATCCATAAAATGGGAGTGACAATGACAATGGGGGGAGACAACACCGGGGGGCGGGGTGCAAAATGCAGCTCAGAATGGGTCTTTGGGACCCAGGATCCAGCCGGGTCAGGTCTGGCGCCTGAGAGGGACAGAAGGCAGCGCCCTGAACCCCCGCCCACCTGCAGCACGATGCCATCTCTGTGCCACGTGATCTCGGGCGCTGGCTCTGCCTCCACCGGACACTCCAGGACCAGCTGCCCCGGGGCCAGGCCAACCACAAAGCGGGGGCCTCGGGGTCCAACAATGTTTGGAGGGGCTGGGAAGGGGGTAGCACAAGAGGACGTGACAGGTGGACTCACCCCTGCCACGGGCCTGTCCTGCCCCCACCCCACGCCCACTGCCTACCTTGAACCCTGACCCGGAAGCTCTTCTCCACTGTGCCTGCAGGGCTTTCAGCCAAGCAAGTGTACAGCCCGGCATCCCCAACCTGGGGATAAAGCAGGCTGAGCAGCTGTCTGCCCACCTCCCAGTCTGGTTTCCTTCTTATGCAGCGAGGGACCCAGAATACAAACTCAGCCCTGCCAGGTCTGCCATCCACCTTCCCAGTCAACCCTGCCCGCTCTTTCCATCTCACTGTTGCTTTAGGACTGGTGCAATGGCTGCCTCTTCCCAGAAGTCCTCCTTGACTACACCAGCCCTCCTCTAGTCTAGATGGGAAGTCATCTGCATTTGGCATCAGCCTGGGCCCTGACCCTACTGGGGGCTCCAAAGGGCACATCCTAGGTGGGTCACCTCCACACCCTCGCCCCATACAGAGGAGGTACTTCAACCTAACCCTGCCAACTGCCGACTGCATCTGGGGAACCTGCAGTCCCTCCCCTCTCCCCCAACACAGCCTCCTCCCAACCCCCAGCCTCATCTTACAGCGACCACAGCGGTACCTGCACACTCTCCACCCGGAGCACCCGCGTGGCTCTGCTGCTGAGCTCCAGCCTGCTCAGGGCCTGCCCGTCCTTATGCCAGGTGATGTTGGGCTGGGGGCTGCCCTGGGCATCACAGAGGAGCTCCATGGGGGCGCCAGGGGTCAGCAACAGCTCTGCAGGCTGGCCTGAGTCCTCGATGTGAGGAGGGTCTGCAAGCCACCCACAGAGGGGAACACACAGTGACACACGTTTCCAGGATGGCGCCGCAGGCGAAAGCACCACGCTGAGTCTGGGGCCTCTGCTCCCAGATTTTGGTGGCTCTTGTTCTTGGATCTGCCACCAAGGTTTGGTGGAAAGACCCCAGGAGCACAGCCCTGGGAGAGTCAAAGCCCAGTCACCCTCTCCCTGCAGGCAAGGCCAGAGAGGAGCCCAGCTGGAACCAAGCTCCCTGAGTTCTGCTCCCAGGTGGCAGTCCCAGGCCTCTGGGACTCCCCTCCCTCACTGCCCTCCCCATTGCCCCCAGAGTCCCACCCTCTCCCCCGAGCCCAGAGAAGCTGGCCAGAGGCCAGAGGACCCACCCATGACTGTCAGCTGGAAATGCCTCCTGGCTTCCCCTGCCTCGCTCACGGCCACACAGGAGTAGGTCCCTGAGTCAGCAGCTCCCACTGTCTCCAGCTGCAGGCTGGGCCCCTGCTCAAGGCTCTGGGGCAACCAGGGCTCCCCATCCTTCATCCACGACACAAGAGGCTGGGGAATGCCCCGGGCCTCACACCGGAGTTCCACCCGGGAGCCACGAACTGCCAACACGTCATTCTGGAACTCCACCGGCTCCAGGACAGGTGGCACTGTGGAGGGCAAAAGGGTGGGCAGGAGCCATTTTATTCCAGGACTCCCACCTCCAGTACTCAGTTTAGACGTGACCTCCTCTGGGAAGCCACCCTGATCCCCCAAGGCCAGGTGAGGGGCCCCCCTCTGTGCTCCCACAGCATTTGCTCTGTCCCCTGGTGTCACTAGTTGCCTGGAATTGTGATTGCCTCTTTACAGAGCTGCTTCCTGCACTGGCCTCCTAGGGGCAGAGCTTTTCTGACCCCACCTATCCTGGGCATATCAGGAGCAAAAAGGAGCAATCCAGTGAGTCAGAGATTGAGCTGCAGTGTCCGCTCTCCTCAACGCCCCCAGGGCCCATCCTTGGTTCCACCCAGATGGGCAGAGGGGCCAAGGGCCTTGATTCTCACCCGCCAAGGCCAGAGACCCCCTTGCCCCACCCCCTGCTCCATACCCTGCACCTGCAAGGTGAAGTTTCTGTGTGCCACGCCAGCTGGGCTTGCGGCCACGCAGCTGAAGATGCCGGCGTCAGCCAGTTGCACCTGGGAAATCCTGAATCCCCCAAGAGGAGAGGGAGCAGGAGAGAAAGGAGAAAGGGGGAGGGGAGAGAAAGAGAGGGACAGGGAGAGAGGGACAGAAGCAGGAGAGGCTGGCTGTGTGGAAAGACTTCCTCCCTTTCCCATCCTTTGTCCCCAAAGGCTTGCTAGCCAGAGGGGGTTGGGTGACTGAGCTCAGCCTTTGCTTAAAGTCTTTACCTGGGTTCCCGTGTCCCCAGGATAAAGCCCCCAACTGCCCCCACCACCGCTGCCTGCTCCTAGCCATCTCATTCTGAAGCCAGACCTCCTGCCTCCCAAATTCCGGAAGCTCCTCGTCCCACGTGGACGGCTCAGCTCCCGTTGTCCACGCACCCCTCTTTGCCGTCAGAACTCCCTAGAGTCCTCTCAGCTCCTGGCTTCACTGTCTGCCGTCCCACTTTCTCTCCAGCCCTTCTGCCCCTGCCACTCCTGAGCTGCTCCTGCCCGTCCCCAGTCACAGCCACGGCCGGAGCCGACAGTCAGTCCCCAGGCCCGCTCTCCCGTGGCCTGCCGCGCAGTCAGTCCCCAGGCCCACTCTCCCGTGGCCTGCTGGTCTCTCCCACCCTGAAACCTGACTTCCCCTGCATCTCCTCCTACCCCGCCCACCTCCCCTTCCCTGGTCCCTGAGACCCATCCGAACACTAGCAGCTGGGGCACAGTCCACACTCGCTCTGGGATGGGGGTGGGTGTTGCAGCCTGTCCTGCCTTCCAGCACCTCCCATGTGCTGACGATCCCCAAATGTCCACTCTGAGTGGCACGGCCAGCGCCTGTCTGCCATCTCCCCTACCTGAGGGTGCGGCCAGAGCCGTGGAGGTGGGTGCGCTGGGACAGCGGGAGCGGCAGGCCGTTCTTGAGCCAGCTCATGTGGATGGGCGGGGAGCCCCTCACGGGGCACGCCAGGGTCACCAGCTCCCCAGCCCTGCTCACCAGGGTCCCCGAGCCGTCCACTCCCTGCTCAATGGTGGGAGGAACTGGGAGTGGGTGGAGAGAAGAAAGGCAGGTGGTGAGGATGTCTTGGGGGGAAGGTGGGCTCCTCCCAGGGAAATTCCCAGCAGTGGAGACCTGAACTTCTGCCGCCACCCTCGTGAGGCATGAGGCCACTGCAGGAGGGGCACAGCCACTCACTGACTCTCTTCCCACCCCCCAATCTCCTCTGTACTCTGGGCTGGTGTTATTGTCCCCTAATTTGAGGATGGGGCACAGAGGCCCAGGGAAGTGAGACCAGTAGCCTAGGCGACAGTGTGGGCTTTGCTCAAATGTCACCTTATCACCCACGCCCTGGCCCATGCACCACCCTCCCAGTGCCCCAGGGCTCCTCACCCAACACAGCCACCGTGTGCAGCCTCGTGTCCTCCCCAGCTGGGTTGTGGGCCACACAGGTGTAGGCGCCTGCGTCCGAGGCCCTCAGGCCCTTTAGCACCAGGGAGCCACCATCCAGGTAGAATCTGTGGTGAGGAAGGAGGGCCGAGGGCAGGGTGTGAGGGGGCATGGGTGCTGCCACCTATGGGGAGGGCATGGGCCGAGCCTTACCGGAGGTGGGAGCCCACGTCCTGGCCCAGCGGGCTGCCGTCCTTCAGCCAGGCCACGTCCGGCGGCGGCTGCCCATCGGCCTCACAGTCCAGCCGCACCTCCTGCCCTTCCAAGATGTGGTGCTCCTGCGCCGCACTCAAGCTCTGGATCCGGGGGGGCACTGAGGCAGGGGTGCAGTGAGGCCCTGGGCAATGGAAGGGGCTGCCCCGGGAGGAGGACAGGAGGTGCAGGGCGCAGACCTACCCAGCACCGTCACCACGAAGTCCTTGCGGGCCTCGGCCTGGGCGTTCTCAGCCACGCATGTGTAGGTGCCTGCCTGGGCTGGCTGCAGGCGGCTCAGCTGGAGGCGGCCCCCCCGGGAGACCACGCCGTGCACCACGCTGCTCTCTGTGGGACAGAGGGGGGCCCCTGAATCCCCCAGCGCTTCTTGTGCTTATAGGAAACTGAGGCCACAGAGGCAAGGGCTCCTTCCTTTATGTCCCCCTCTTCCCCAGCCCGGTCTGTATTCCTTAGAATCCTCCCGTTTCCTTGCACTTGGGACAGCTCTTCCCGAGGGACCCACTCCCTTCAGTGTCCAGGATTTGCTCTCGGGCCCAGCTCTCACCTCCCTTCCTCTCCCTCCCCGCCCTGCCCCTCTACCCCCATCTATCAAGGTTTCTGATCAATCAAGTCAAACCAGCTCCTCACCTACCCCACACAGGTCACCCTGGGGCCTCCCTCTGAACCTCTGCTCCCTGCCTTCGGGCCTCCCCCTTCCTTCCCTCCAGCCACAGTCCACCCAAAGCCATCCCTAACTGCCCCAGCGCAGGCTGATCTCCTTGCCCTGATCCTCATCAGCCTCTCAACACAAACACCCGGGCAACTCCCTGTGTCCAGCGGGGAGCTTGGGAATCAGAGATGAGGACGGCTCCATCCCCGTCCTCAAGAAGTTCACAACGTATCAGGGGCAGGGCAGTGAAACAAGGAGACCCAGTGCTGACAAGCCCTGTGAGGCCCTGATGGAGCCAGGGAACCTGGGGGTCAGGAGGGGTTGGGGAAGGCTTCCGGAGGTGGCAAGTCTCCGCTGAGATGTGACTGTTGAGCAGGACTCAGCCAATGGGGAGCAGAGGTGACCATGGGAGCCTGGGGTGGGTATTCCAGGCAGGGAACATATGTGCCAAGATACAGCTGGACACAACAGGGGGTGGGTATCCAGCCTACAGCCACCTGACCCAAGAGAGGCAACAACACAGGTCCATGCAGAAACACAGACACGGAGGTTCACAGCAGCACCGAGCATCACAGCGTCACTAAGCGTCACAGCCAGAAGATGCAGACACCCAAATGCCCGTCAACTGACCAGTGGAGGCACAAAAGTGACACGGCCACACAATGGAATATTCACAGCCACAGAAAGGAATGAAGGCTGGGCGTGGTGGCTCACGCCTGTAATCCCAGCACTTTGGGAGGCTGAGGCAGGTGGATCACCTGAGGTCAGGAGTTTGAGACCAGTCTGGCCAACATGGTGGAACCCCATCTCCACTAAAAATACAAACATGAGCCGGGCATGGTGGCAGGTGCCTGTAATACCAGCTGCTCGGGAGGCTGAGGCAGAAGAATCGCTTGGACCTGGGAGGCAGAAGTTGCAGTAAGCCGAGATTGTGCCGCTGCACTCCAGCCTGGGCAACAGATCGAGACTCCATCCCAAAAAAAGAAAAGAAAAGAAAAAGAATGAAGTACTGATCCACACTACAACGTGGATGAACCTTGAAAACATGCTAAACAGAAGGAGCCAGACCCAAAATGCCACACCCTCTATGACGCCATTGATGTGAAAGGCGCAGAACAGGTCAATCCACAGAGACAGAAAGCAGATTCGTGGTTTCCTAGGTCTGGGGAAGAAGAAATTGGGGAAAACAGGGAGTGATTCCTGATAGGTATGGGGTGTCCTTTTGGTGATAAAAATGTTCTAAATTTGATTGTGGTCATGGTCACACAGCTCTGTGACTGTACTACAAATCGCTGAATTAGATGTTTTCAGTGGGTGAATTACATAGTATGTGAATTATATCCCAGTAAAACTGTTACTGAGAGAGAGGGGCAGGTTTGAGGAGCCCAGCACAGTCACATTTAGCACGTAGGGGGCCAGGGAGAGGTGGCCGGTGGTGCAGGCCCCCACTGTGGACAGATTTCCCCCAGACAAGGGACCAGCTCTGCGCTGCACCTTCAGACCTTTCTGCCCCTCTCAGAGCCTGTATAGGATGCACAGCGGGCCCAGGAGACCATGTGGGGCTTCTGCCCTCATGTGGAGGAATAGTGGGGATAGCAGTGGCCAGAATGGGGAGGCTGGCTGGGTGGTGGGGGTGACCAATGGCCCAGTTAGAACAGAGCTCAGCCGCCACCAAGGAGCAGCTCTGGGGGCCAATGCTGAACCCATTGACAGCCAGTGGACTTTCCATGGCCCTCAGCACCTGCCCTGCACAATGGATAGTCCATGTCTGCTGTCCTGTGGGAGCTGACTAAGGACGTGGACGCAAAGGCGCTTCCAAGCCCCAGCAGGAGATGCTCCTGATGTTTGAATTCCAAGGGCCAATAAATAAGGCTTTGCTCAAACACAAATGGGGCGGAGCCAACATGGCACAGCCAGCCTCTGGTTTTGCCAAAATCATCGACAACAAACAACTTCCTTCCTCCGCTTCCGCTGTCATCTCATTAAAGACAAGAATGCTTTACATGAAACTGACAAGGGCACATGTCCTCACCCACGGGCATCCTGTCCTTCAGCCAAGTGACCGTGGGTGCAGGGACCCCGGACACATCACAGGTCAGGACCAGGGGACTCCCAGCCACCTGGCTCACCATCTCTGTCTTGGGGTTCTCAAACGTTGGGGGCACTGCAGGAAAAAAGCCAGGCTGTCAGAATTCTGAGACTCTTCGCCCATTTCCTTCCCTCAGGCAGATTATGGAGGACTGCGGAGCTGGTCCCAGTAGTTAGGAGTTCCCATTTTATGTTTTGTTCACAAATGTAAATAGAGCCAGTGCCTGGCTATTTTAAAGCATAACAAAGCAAACTCCAACCAGGTCTACTTAGCCCAAGGATGGTAAATGGGAAGCTCACGCACCCACAGTCCTTAACCCGTGCCAGGGCAGACATCAATCATCGATCCCAACGCTCTCTCCTCCTCCACCAGGATGAAGTCACACACCCAGGCAGCCACTACCGTGGGACAGAGTCAACCAGGCTCCAGATGAAATGCCTCTGCCCTCAGGGACCAGATAGTCCCCCTCTTCCCACTGTTCATCAACGTAGCCATCAGAAAGGGCTGCAAGCTTTGAGCAGCAAGCCTGGTGTCAGTCTTTTTCTTGTTACTTTTTTTTTTTTTAATGTGTTGTAGATACAGGGTCTCACTATATTGCACAGTCTGATCTCAAACTCCTGGACTCAAGTGATCCCCCAGCTCAGGCTCCCAAAATGCTGGGATTACAGGCGGCCCCCTGCACTCAGTCTTGTCAGTTGTTTTCGACTATTGTGTTGCATATGGCTCAGGGCTGCATGTGCCCACTGCTCACCTGGTTGGGAGGCTACTGGCTTGGGCATCTGTGGCAGACGGCCAGTGTCCCCCCAGCCCATTCTTCCCATTGTGCACAGCACAGTTTTAGCTGAGCCCATGGTCACTCTAGCAGAAACTACATTTCCCAGTGTCCCCTGCAGCCAGCTGCCTGAGAGCACACTAATGGAATATATGCAGAAGGGACAGGTGCTGCTTCTGCATGAAATACATGCTTGCCCACCACTTCTGCTCTTTTCTGCTTCCTGTGGGCTGGGACAGGTTGCAGTGTCCCAGCTGCAACCACAGGTACAAGAACAACACCCTAAGAAACGGGAAATCAATAGGAGGGAAGGAACCCGTGTCCCTGAACTACCGCATGGAGCTGAGCTACCCACCAGCCTAGATACTCACTCACCTCTGGGCTTTTGAATGAGAGTAAAACTCTCTCATTTACTCAGGTATATTTTGGGGTATCTTTGTTGCAAGGCTAAGTCTATGTTCTAACATAACATCTGAGCCCCAGAAAATCTGGCCAGGTTCCCTGGATGGTGTAAATAGGCTCCCCCTTATCCCAGCTGGAGCCACATGTCCAATCAAACAGCATCCATGCTCCATCCTTGGGCGGATGGGACAGGCCCTCTCAGGGATCAAGATGCAGGTGACATGGCCTCCTGTGTGTCTGGTCTCATATGGCTCCTTCATCCTGGTGCCCACGTGCCAGGTCCTGTGCCCAGCACTTTACAGACACCGTCCATGGGATCGGGTATGTCCAATGTGGCTGGCAGGCAGCTACTGCTTTTAGATTCATTCACTGAAGGTAAACCTTAGGCTCTGAGGGAAGTCTCTCTACTAAGCCCCATGAATCAAGTTCTAATTTGGAGCCTGCTAACCCTAGTCTTTTAACTTTTAGAAATCAGCTGGGTGCAGTGGCCCTTGCCTGTAACGTCAGCACTTTGGGAGGCTGAGGCAGGAGGATTGCTTGAGCCCAGGAATTCAAAACCAGCCTGGGCAACATAATGAGACCCCAACTCTAAAAAAGAAATTGATAGATATAGATACAGTATAGATGATATAGAGATATTAGAAATTCTAGTAATCGTGCCCTCAGTACTTGGCAGCGCTGACTCTGTCCAGCTACTGTCTTTCTCCTCCCTGGCAGCCCCATGTGTTGCTAGGGGCTCCACGGTCAGCCAGGCTGGTCCCCAGCTTACCCTGGACGGTGAGGACGAAGGTCCGCACGGCCTCCCCAGCCACGTTGCTGACTTGACAGCTGTATACACCTTTATCTGACACCTGGGAGAGGAAGAGCACATGCTGACTGTGTGCCAGAGCTGGGGCTGCGGTGCGAGGCTCCCCAAAAGCATCTAGGCCCCAAAAACTTCCAGAGCAGGGGACCCCCAAATATGCTGGTCCTGACTGGGGAGCCAAAGGGAATCAGGTCCCTCTGGACTTTTCCAAGAGCCTCAAGAAGCAGAAGGGCGCCTCAAGAAGCAGGAGGGCGCCTCAAGAAGCAGGAGGGCCCCTCAACAGTGAATACACAGGCTCTGGGCACCTCACTCCCTGGGCCAAGCGGGAAGGAAGAGGCTCCCTATTGCTGTGGGGATGGAGCCTGGCCAGGAGAGAGGAGCCCAGAATGGATGTCCAGAGGGGCAGCAAACATTCATCCAACAAATGCTGTGAGCACCTAATCCACACCAGGGAGGGAGGGCAGGGCAGACTCCCAGGAGTCTCAGCCGGCCAGCCAGAGTGACCCGGACAAAAGCTTCTAGATGCTGAGGGAACTGAGGCAGGAAGGGCTCGGGCCTCGACTGCAGGGGTGGGTCTGGATGTGACTCCAGGGCCCTGAGCTCTGCCCATGTCTTCCACCCTGGAAGCTGCTAATCAACTTAGTTTGGGGTCCCAGAGGCCAAAGAGGCAGCAGCCCACATCCTGCCCACCTTCTTCCCCCCAGCTCAGCAGGGCGGGGAGGCGACTTTCCTGCAGCTGCCCACTGCCACCCGCACCCCCAGGGTCACTCACCTGGGCCTCCTGGATCTCCAGCCTCTGACCACCCTGCAGAGCCTGGGTCCGCCGTGCCGGGCTTAGGGGCTGCCCATCCTTGTACCAGGTCACAGTCGGCTTGGGGAGTGCGTCTGTCTTGCAGCTCAGGACAACCTTGTCCCCGGCCCTCACCAGTACGGCATCCTGGGGGCTGCTGGGAGCCTGCCCGAAGGCAGGGGGAACTGGGGGCAGGAGACAGCAGAGTGAGGCGCTGCCGCTGTCCTCACACCTTCACGTTCAGCCACAGGGAAAATGCCGGTAGAGACCCACCAGGGTCACACAGCAGACCCATCCCAGCAGTCCTGGCCCCGGGGGCTGGCGCAGACCCAGGGGAGTTGAAGGAAGAGAACTGGGCCAGCACGCCAAGGACCCGCTGAGTGACCGTGGACAGCTTCCTGCCTCTCTGAGCCTCAGCCTCCTAGATAGGGAAGATGCTGACGCCTGCTCCGACCTAGGCTTTTCCTGCATGCGGCAGGCCCCAGCTGGGTCACAGCACTCTGTGGGGGCGCCTTCAGCCCCCTGTCGCTCCAGCGAACCAATGTTGAAGTGCCCCTTCCCCATGGCTGAGTCCACAGGGCCTGGCACAGTGTGTGGCTGGTGTTCGTGCAAGCGAAGGAACCAGCTTCAGAGCTGAAAGAACCTTCCAGGGAGTCCTTGCTTAAGACACCTTGGCCCAGCTTTTCCCCAGGAGGATTCGGAAGCCCACGAGCCTTGAAACAGGCTCCACAGTGAAACGGGCTTCCCCGACCACACAGGCTTGGGGAGGCCTCTTCCCCAGCGAGGCTCTTGGGGCCCATCCTGTCGCTCCCCCTCCTCAGAGCTGACCCGTGCAGGGGTCCCAGCCACCCCCCATGCCTTCTGCCCCTCTCCTGGCTCTGTTCCCCGGGGGGTGTGGGCTGAGGGCTGACTGAAGGGTGAGGGACAGCATGAGTTGGGGACGGACATGGACGCACCCAGAACACTGAGCTGCACCAGCTTCTGGTCTCGGCCGGCAGCATTGAGGGCTTCGCAGGCGTACATCCCAGAGTCCGACAGCTGAGCTCGAGCCAGCTGCAGCGTGTGGGTGCCTGCCAGGGGAGCCAGCGCCTCACACCAGCATTCTAGCCCAGTCCCCCATCCTAAATCCCTGCCCTTCACCCACCCTGTCCCAGGTGGGGGAAGCCACTGTCTCCCCATGTAACCTTAGAGCTGGGCCAGAAGCCTCAGTTTACCCACCAGGCAGGAGGAAGACCTCTTCGCCCAGGGAGAGTGCCTGGCTGTCCCTGTACCACGTGACCTCAGGGCTTGGGTGAGCATGGACATCACAAGGGAGGGAGACACTGCTGTTGAGGATGGCAGTGATCTGCTCCAAGTGCAGGCCTGCAATTCGTGGCGGGACTATCCCCACGGCCACCACGACAGAGAAAGGCATGAGAATCACACTGGCAGGGGAGCCAGGAGCCTGAGAGAAACCCTGAGCCTCACCCAGTTCCTGGGGCTTCACCTCAGCACAACCTCAAATAACTCAGAAACCTCCATTTGCCATGACTCTCTTACACATAAGGACACCGAGTAGGGGATCAGAGAGGGAGAGTCCCTGTTCCAAGGCCACACCGATGGTCAGTGGCAGAGCTGATATCAATTCAGGTTCGAGCCCGTGACCTTGAGGGCTCAACACTGTCTTCCTCCATCCCTAAACCACACCTGTCCCTGCATCTGGAGACAGAACTCACAGCGACCTCAGTGCAGTGCACGTCGTGCGTTGCAGAGGCTGGGAGCGCAGGCTCCGTGGCAGTGGGCCCGCCACCTCCTCTCTGAGGGCAACCTCCCTGAGTCTTTTGCCACAGCTGCAAAGCCGGGCTAACGTCCTAGCTCTGCTGGAAGGAGTCAGCCCAGGGAAAGTGCTCGGCCTCGTGTCAGGTACACAGGAAGTGCTCAATAACAGTGGTGTCACGCCTCAAAAACAGCTCTTCCCTGGCCACCTCCAAAGTGGCTTAAAATCACCTGGGGCCGTCTAATAGTGATCAGGGCCCCTCAGATGCTGTCTGTCTCAGGGTGCGGCTGGTGCCAGGCTGGGATCCCTAAACCCTAAGTCCAGGGCCCAGAGCCCAGGACACTAGAAGCCCCAAGGTGGTGCTCCTTGGGGAGGGAAAAGGAACCCACAGGGGCCGCCTGCTCGGCCCAGCTCACCTTGAACCCTGAGGGTAAAGAGTTTCTCAGCAGAGCCCGCCTGGTTCTCGGCCACACACATGTAGCTGGCGGCATCAGCCGCCTCTGCCGTGGAAACCTGAAGGTGCAGGGAGCCATGCCTGGGAGATGCCTGAAGCCCCTCAGACACCACCACCCTCAGGAATGACCATGAGGACAACCTCCCTCCGTCTCTCCTATCCCATGCCAGGGACACAGGCACCAGGCAGCTCATGGAGACCTGGAACCGCCTCCACCCAGGGCCTGTGTGGTGTTCAGGAGTGGGCGTGTGAGGTTGGCATCGGGTGGTTCTCTGCAGCAAACCCATGTGACAACAGCCTCCCCAACCCCCGTGGAGGGCTGTGCTGTGTGCTGGGCTCCAGGGATCCCTGCAGTTCTGAGTTTGCACACGGGGTGACTGGGGGACTGCCTGATGTGTGAGCGCTGGGCACAGCTCCATATGCGTCATCTGGCAGTCCCACAGAAGGCTGCTCTATGCAGGGCTGGGCTCTGGTCCTCGCTCATGTGATCCTCTGCTAGCTGTCTCCTGAACCTCCGGATGCTGTGCACAGCCATCCTGGCCCAGCAAGGCTCCTCACTGGTGATTTTTTGCTGGGCTCCAGCCTGGCTCCCAGCAAAGAGCCTCATTTGCTGATAACGACCCCTCCCTGGCTCCCAGACAAGTGGGGCTGGGACTCGGCAGCTGCTGCCCCAGTGCGTGCAGGGGGCTGCCCTGACCTGTAAGACTTGCCCATCCTCCAGGACCTGCAGCCGTGGGCTCGGAGAGAAAGGCAGCCCATTCTGGAGCCACGAGATGGTGGGCATGGGGTTTCCCAGGGCCGGGCACTGCAGGCTGACAGTGCTGCTGGCGTTGACCGTCACCTCTTCCACCAGCTCCTCTGTGTCGCCCAGGATCACAGGTGGGGCTGGGGATGGGGGAGAGGAGGCTGAGGGGCCAGCACAGAGGTCTCTGGGGGTGGGGTGACTGTGGAGGTGAGGGTGGCACTTGGCGTCAAGCGCTGGCTGGGACCCTGGTACTCTTCTCTCCAAGCCCTCCCAGTCCCTGACGCAGCTAAGGAATCGGGGCCGAGAAAGGGTTGTGATTTGCTCAATGTCACACAGCCAGGAGCTTCTGCTTGGAGCCTGTGCCCAGTCCTGCATGATTTTTGAGGCCGAGCTTGTAACTCCATTTTCAGCCTTTGGGTACAGCAAGACTGAGGGCACTGTGCCTCAGCCCCTGGCAAGGGAGGCCCTTCTGGGGCATGCAGTCCTGGGACTCCCCACCTGCAGCCCCGCCACTCACTCAGCACCTGCAGCTGGTAGTGCAGCCAGTCCTCGCCCACCTCGTTGGAGGCCTTGCACGAGTACCTCCCCGCGTCCTCCGCCCGGACCAGGGGGATCTGCAGGACCCGGCCTCCTGCAAGGACATGGGACAGACACCTGAGCTCAGGCACAAGAGTCACCCCAAAGAGCAAGGAAGCTGCTCTCGCCTCTGGAGTGGACCTGGGACATGTCACTGTTCCCTGCCTCATCTGTGAAATGAAGAGACTCAGCCTGTCCTGCTCAGCTCCTGGGTGGAGTGGGGTTAAGTCAGGAGTGTGCGCCAGGCCCTGAGCTGCACATTCTGGGCCTGTCCCACCCGCCTCTGTGGGGCATGAGCTGTTGTCACTCCCATCTTACTGACCGCAAACCTGAGCCTTCACAGCAGTGCCCAGTGTGACGCGGTGGTTCCTGGCTCAGCTCAGCTGTTGTGCCAAGCCCAGCTCCTTGGCGAGGGCAGAGTCTGGGGGGAGACTCAGGAGGCAAGGGAGGCAGCTCCCGGGGCTGTGGCGGTGGTGGGGGTAGGGGTGGGGGCAGGGAAGGCATCACCTGGGACCCTATGTGATCAAAAGCCACCCAGGGCCAGGCGCAGTGGCTCACACCTACAATCCCGGCACTTTGGGAGGCCAAGGTGTGTGGATCACCTGAGGTCAAGAGTTCTCGGCCAGCCTGGCTAACATGGCGAAATTCCATCTGTACTAAAACTACAAAAATTAGCCGGGTGTGGTGGTGCATGCCTGTAGTCCCAGTTACTCAGGAGGCTGAGGCAGGAGAATTGCCTGAACCCAGAAGGGGGAGGTTGCGGTGAGCCGAGATCGCGCCATTGCACTCCAGCCTGGGTAACATGAGTGAAACTCCGTCTCAAAAAAAAAAAAAAAAAAAAAAAAAAAAGAGCCAGCCAGGGCCAGAGCCTGGTATCAATGGAGTTGATCTCCAGTGGGGCCTGGTTAGGGTTACCGTGTGCTCAGAATTCTGGGTTGGGGCAGGCCGGCCCCGGCTATGGGTGACTTGACCAAGCTAAGAGCCTGCAAAGCCCAGTGGCAGGATTGGGGCAGCAGTGGTGTTGTAGGGGTCAGTTGATGTTTGGGATTAGCGTAAGGTCAGGGTAAGAATTCAGGTCAGCGGTGACCATGACACCTGTGTTCTCAGAATTAGAGAACAGAGGTTAGAGGTCAGTGGCCAGGGTGAGAGGTGAGTGAGTGGGTAGGAGTGGGGGGCGGTTGGGGCTGTGGGCTGGGCTCAGCTACAGTTAACCGATGGTTAGAGTCTGATGGGGATCAGCAGGTGACCGAGCCTACTGTGCACCCAGGACTTGGCGTCAGGGTAAGTGGTCAGCGGCCAGGTTAAAGGGTCTGTCCAGAGGTTTCTATCAGGAACTAGCTGCGGCAAGTTAAGAGTTGCATTCCTGGATCTGCGAGACGCCTCCTTTTTGTTCTTTTTTCCTTTTTTTGAGGCAGGGTCTTGATCTGTTACGCAGGCTGGAGCGCAGCGGTACCATCACGGCTCACTGCAGCTTTGACCTTCTGGGCTAAAGGATCCTCCTGCTTCAGCCTCCCGAGTAGCTGGGACCACAGGTACATGCCACCATGCCCAGCTAGTTTTAGAATATTTGGTACAGACGGGGTCTCATGATGTTGCCCAGGCTGGTCTTCAATACCTGGCCTCCATCGATTCTCCTACCTCAGCCTCCCAAAGTGCTGGGATTACAGCTGTGAGCCACCACCTCCATTTTTTTGCAATCACCAAAGCAGAAACCCTGGTTCGATTCTGCTCATGCAACTGACCACTTCTCCCCAAAACCAGCCTCGCCACTGGCCCCACCTGGCCTCAAGCGATCAAATCTCAAACCAAGGGACCACCCAGACTTCCCCCATGAGCCAGTGGGCGGGGTGTTTCTAAGCCCTACCCCTAGAGTCTTTTAAGTCAAATCACCTACAAAAAAGTATTCTAAAATAAAAGGCTTGCTTTTAAAAGTGATATTATCTTAAATAAACAAGTACCCCCCAAGGTGTTAAAAGAAAAAAGCGAAAACAGACACACAAAACGTGAGCTTCAGCCACCAGAGTGGTCTTCAAAGCCCAGTTAGAGCTCCGTCAGCGTTCGGGGTCGTGAGCTTTGCTGAGGATTACCGAAGGAGCCAGCTGCCTCTGCAGAGAAAGTGGCAGTTTCTGCCAATGGTTTAAGGACATTACGGATCTTGAAGCCCAGAAGGGGATGCCCCATGGTAAAAGGCTTCGATCTATAAACCAGAGGCAAAGGGCAATCCAGTCTTTGCCTTCATACAGGCAAAGAACTCGCAGCCCCAGTTTACAAATTGCAGCTAAGGTCCAGAGTGGTCGTGTGCCCTCCTTGAGGTCACACAGCAGGCAGCTCAAAGCACCCACTTTCTTGATGCAGCCCTGACCCACCTTGCAGCACAGACACCCCGTCCTTGGCCGAGAGGGGCTGATCCTCTCTGTACCAGGTGAGCTCCGGAGGTGGGATCGCACTGGTGTCACAGTACAGGTAGGCTGGGTTGTTCTCCACGATCTCCCTGTATTCCGTTACTTCGCCCCGGACCTCCTCCTCCCAGGACAGGCTCTCAAAAGCTGCACTGGTATCACCCACCTTCTGGAACATGGGGGGCACTGGGTGGGAGAGACAAAGCCCTCAGGAGACACAGCAGAGGGGTGGGGAATACTCCTCTGCTCATGGAGATTCTCATCCCAGCCTCTCCCAGGTGCAGAAATCCATTATTTGAGCCATTCCCTTAGGTCAAGGCATTTCTTAAATTCCCTCACTCCCTAAACCAGTGTTTATGGAGCAACTACTATGTGCTGGGGACTAGGATAAGGCTCCTTCCCTAAGCAGCTCATGTCTAATGGGCGCTAAAGACTCCTTGCAACATGGACATATTTTCCACGGTTGGAAGCCAGATACTAAGCTTTAGCCGGCATTTGTGTATCAGAGCACAGAGGTACAAAATCATCAGCTTTAGAAATAGAGAGGGCCCTCAAGGTCACCTGCTTTGATCACCTGCATTTTACAAAGAGTAAAATTAAGGCCTGGAGGGGGCCGTGTCATCCCCAGGTTGTCATTAACATAACCAGTTAATGACAGAGCCAGGGCTAGAGGCTGGTGGCCAGAAGCAGTGGAGGTGAGGAAGGGTGTGAGCAGCTGGAGCAGGTACTCCTCCTGCCAGGACGCTCCATGGGCACTCCACTGTGCAGCAAAACCTGGTTCTCGACATTTATCCACCGCCCAGCTTGCCTGTCAGCCTCCTGCCTTCCTGCCTCCCCATTCTAGCCTCCAAGCCTCCTGCTCCCAGCTTCCCCTTCCCACCTCCCAGCCTCTTCCTCCCAGCCTCCCTGCCTCCCCCTGCCAGGTTCACTTTCCCAGCCTCCCCATCCCAGCCTCCCAGCCTCTCACTCCCAGCCTCCCCTTCCTACCTCCCAGTTTCCCCTTCCTACCTCCCAGCCTCCACTTCCTGGCCTCCCCCTCCCAGCCTCCCTGTCTCCCCCTCCCAGCCTCCCCATCCCAGCCTACCAGCCTCCACAACCCAGCCTCCCTGCCTCCCCTTCCCAGTTTCCTCCCCAGCCTCCTAGCCTCTCCCCCCAGTCTCCACAGCCTCCCCCCAGTCTTCCCTGTGCAGCCTTCCAGCATCCCCTCCCAGCCTCCCCCCCCAACCTCCCCTTCTCAGCCTCCCAGCCTCTCTGACTCCTGACTCCCTCCTTTTCTTCCTTCACTTTTTAAAAAGGGAAACGTCCAGCACTGACGAAAGTGAGAGAGGAATGTTACGAGCCCCAATGCACCCACAAGCAGCTTCAGCCATCAAGGCGGCCACTCAGCTTCCTCTCGACCAGAGATTCTGAAGCCAGTCCCCAGGTTTCCCTAACAAAGTGAGAGGCATTTGGCAGTGGGGTCAAGAGCATGGCGCTCTGGCTCAACCAGACCAGTCTGGCTCCACCACTCCATTCTGTGGTTTGGGGCCAGAGCCCTCGTGTCTTTGGCTTCGGTCCCTCGAGGCAGAGGGGCTGGGGCAGGATGCGCTCTGGGCTGCCGAGATGAGCCAATGCAGAAGACACACGGCAGGGACCCCCAGAGGGCCAGCCCCTCAATGTCCTCACACTGGCCAACGCCCCGCCCCCCGCCCACTGGTGGCACGCACCCTGGATGAGCACGTTGAAGTCCTGGTCGTCCTCGCCAGCCACGTTGGTGGCCACGCACAGGTACCGCCCCGAGTCTGAGACCTGCGTGGGCTGGATCTGGAGCAGTCGCCCTTCACCCAGGATGTGCAGCCGCGGGCTGGGGGTCACGGGCTGCGAGGAGGACAATGGAGTTGGGGGAAGGGAGATCAGAAATGAGGGGCTGAGAGGAGCAAGACAAGGGCACTTACTTCTCAACACATTCTCCAAAAATGCAGCAGAAAGTGATGAGAACAGCTGAGAAGTTTACAAAACCAAATCCACAGAGCATCAAAATGAGAAGGGCCATACACTGGTGAAAATAGTAGAGAGTTTAAAGTTTACAAAGAGTTCAACATTTTGTTGAAAAATACAGCCGGGCATGGTGGCTCATACCTGTACTCCCGGCACTTTGGGAGGCCGAGGTGGGCAGATCACCTGAGGTCAGGAGTTCGAGACCAGCCTGGCCAACGTGGAGAAACCTCATCTCTACTAAAAATACAAAAAATTAGCTGGGAGTGGTGGTACACCCCTGTAATCCCAGCTACTCAGGAGGCTGAGGCAGGAGGCTCACTTGAATCTGGGAGGCAGAGGCTGCAGTGAGCCAAGATAGTGCCATCGTACACCAGCCTGGGCAACAGAGCGAGACTCTGTCTCAAAAATTAAAATTAAAAGGCTGGGGAGGTGGCTCACACCTGTAATCCCAGCACTTTGGGAGGCCAAGGTGGGCAGATTACCTGAGGTCAGGAGTTTGAGACCAGCCTGGCCAACATGGTGAAACCTCATCTCTAATAAAAATTACAAAAATTTGCTGGGCGTGGTGGCGGGCACCTGTAATCCCAGCTACTCAGGAGGCTGAGGCAGGCAGAATAGCTTGAACCCAGGAAGCAGAGGTTGCGGTGAGCCAAGATTGCACCACTGCACTCCAACCTGGGTGACAGAGCAAGGCTCCATCTCGGAAAAAATAAAAATAAAATAAATAAAGGGTGGGTGGGACTTGGACCAGCTCTAGGGCCAAGTGCTGTAAGGGAAGGCTTTTCTGGAAGGTTCCAAGCAGAACCAGCTGGAAGCACAGGTGAGAGCCAGAAGCTGCTTGGGGGTCCCACACTCACCTGCCCGTCCTTGTACCAGCGGATGGTGGGCGGGGGCACAGCCCAGCACTCACACTCCAGGGTCAAGGTGCTGTTGACCTTGGTCTTCACTTCCTTCACGCTGACCTCCCCCAAGGGGTCATCTTTGGAGATGGAAGGGGGGACTGAAAAGCACAAGGGGTCTGAGAGCAGAGCTGGGGGATGGGTGCTGAGACCCTGAGCTTACCCTGGTCCTGGGGGCAGCCCCAGAAATAGGGCCCAGCCCAGAGACACAGGGACCTTGGAACCACCCTGCTCCTGGCTGTTCCCTCAGGGGAGAGAGCATTTGTCTGCAAGACAGGACAGGGCAGGTCTGAGGCAGGGGAATTCTTGGGGTCACCTCAGAGGCCTTCTTTGGGGGTCCCAAGTCTCAATCTGCAGAGCCTCTGGTTATACCCTGAAGCAGAAGTGGCAGGAGGAAGCCAGGACTGTAGTGGGTCTCCTCATTCTGTCCTCTGGAGCCCCCCCCAGCTGCCTGGTGACTGCCAGAGGACATAAGCCACAGGGAGGCACCCCGGGGCACCAAGGGTGGCTCAGGTGCCTGGACCCCTGGGTTCCCAGAGGTCTTCTGCCCAGCCAGCTGTGCCTCAGGGTCCCCGACTCACTGAGCACTTCCACGTGGTAGTTTTTCATGGCCTCCCCGAGCTCGTTGGTGACCACGCAGGTGTACTGGCCGGCATCTTCCTTCTGGGCATTCAGGATCTGTAGCCCGTGGGTACCTGTGTGGGGGCCAGGGGCCAGGGTCACCCCGGAGCTGCAGCCTCATGCCAGGCACGAGGAGAGGCTCACTGGTCCTCTCCTCTGACCCTGATGACATGTCACCTGTCCCCTCCCTCCTCCCTGCCAGAGGGCATCACCTGGGAGGAGCTGGATGTTCCTGGAGGCCTCAAACGGGGCCCCATCCTTCATCCAGGTAATGTTGGGGGAAGGAAAGGCCAGCGCCTCGCAGATCAGAGAGATGGGATTGTTGATGGTCACGGTCACCTCCTCATCTTCACTGTCCTCAGCCACTCCCAGGATGGTGGGAGCCACTGTGGTGGGGGAAGTGGGGTACTTGTGAGCAGAGGTCCCTGACCCTGGGCCAAGGACTAGGAAAGCCTTGGACCCCAGTGCTTGGCCTCAGTGCTTCTGTCACTTAACATTACAGAGATGGGAAATTGAGGCTCAGAGAAGCCCATGCCCAGGGCGGCCAGGCTTGAACTCAGGCTGTGTGACCCAGAGCTCGGCTCTCCAACACTAAGCAATACTACAAGGGAAAGCTGAGTAATGTCTGCCTCCATTTACCCCAAAGCTTCTCAGTGTGCAGCCTCTCCACCCATAAACCAGAGGCTTCTGAATCCTGCTAGAGTTGGGGAGTGGGAGCTGGGGGGCGTTGTTCCCTGCTTAGCAGAGTCACTTTGCTTTCATTGGTCCCAACATTTCTTCTTTCAACTCCTGCAGGGGACTCTCCCTTTAACTGTCAGAATTTTAGAAACAGATTTTTCTTTTCTTTTCTTTTTTTTTTTTTTTTTTTTTTTTCTAGGAGCAGAGAGTTTACTAGGCAAGAGAGAAGGAAGGAAGAAGAAAACAGCTCCCCCATACAGAGATAGAGGAAAGGGGGATTCGAACAAAGAGAACCCCCTGGAAGCTGGTCTGTGCCCCTCTCATCTGACGGACGGTCTGTTTCTCCAGGCTACAGGAATAGCAGGTATGCCTTGCCCTCAGGAGATGGAGAGAAGCCTGGATGTGAACCCACCACCCTGGGGCCTGGCAATAACTCTTGTCACCTCTCTGAACCTCAGGGCTTTGTCAGTGACATGGGCACAAGCACATCTCCCACCTCCTAGGGTCACTGTGAAGATTCCATCCATCAGGCCCGTTGCAATGCCTGGCCCATGATAAACGCTCAGTCAATTGAGTTACTTTTGCTGTTGTCAAACTCGGAGAATTAGAAGAAAAATAGAATGGTTCATGGGAAGCTGTCTGAAAGGAGCCGGCTGTGGGTCAAGATGGCCAGGGGAGACCTGTGTTCATTCTAGCTCAATAATTCTAAGCTTGCTTGCTCAGAGGACACTGAAGTTTATACATCGAACTAAACTATATTATTGGTGCAGTTAATTAGAAATCAGGCGGCAACAGGAGGCCTAACGTAAAGACCATCTGAGAGCGCAGTGACACCGGGAGCACCTCGGGGTGGCTGCAGAGCGGGGAATACTGCTGTGGTCCCACGAACGCTTCTCAACATGGAGACTGCATGAGGGCCTCGAAAAGAGGGTTTATGCAAAGATCTCTGAGAAGAGAGGCCACCTCTGATCACAAGATCTGGGGGGGTCTTTGCAGATGGGAGCTGGCAAGGAGACAAGCCTTGCAGGGCAGAGCTCACGGAACGCCTCGGGCTCTGCCTAGGTTCTCAGTATGGAGTGATTTGAATTGCTCTAAGTGCCCAGTGCTGGGGATATAAAAGCCCCTGATGCACTGGGTGTGGTCAGACCCGGCAGCTCCTCATCTGCTATACCTCTGATGCAGCCGCAGCCTGATAACTATCGGTGATAAACTCGGAGCACTGGTTTGGCATGTCTTAGAGGGATCTCAAGTGCTCCCCGCCACTATCTCACCTACCCTTCACCCTCCCCTTCCACGCCCGTAAGATCAATGAGATTGTGCACATAATAAAAGTGTTTGGAGCCCAGAGCTCTGGGCCGACACGGTTCCCACGCTTGCCTTGGCCCCCTGGACCCATGCTGTAAATTCTACTCTTGTGTCTCCATCTTTATTTCCTTTTCTCAATCCCTCGTCACCATGGTGGCCAGGACATGCCCAGAACTTACACAGGACACTGAGCTGGAAGTGTTTGGTCTTCTCCCCAACAGTGTTGGCTGCAATGCAGGTGTAGTGGCCAGCGCTGGACAGGTTTGCCTGGAGGACCCACAGGAGGACTCCATCTGGGGAGATGTGGTGGGCATCTCCACCAGCCAGGGGCCGGCCATCTTTGAACCATGTGACCTTGGGCTGTGGGTGGCCTGTATGCAGAGCAGAGAATGAGACGATTTGGCAGGCTTTGACTAGGGGAGCTCCGGGGTCGCAGGCTGCTCCCAGATGGGTCAGGGGTTGTGAATTCTCCATCTCTGCCCAGAAGCCCATGAAGGACAACAAGAAGCAGAAGCAGCCACCAGGCCTGGCCTGTGCCCCTTCCTCTGTGATTTGGCTGCCTTTTCCTTACTGAGGAATGGCTAGAAATGGCTTGGTACATATAGGTAAGACAGAAAAACAAGTTATTCCTTCCATCCATTCATCCATCTACCCACACACTACTCAACCATCCATCCACCACCCATCCATTCATCTACCTACCCACATATCCTTCTATTCAACCAATCATCCAACCATTCATTTCTCCATTCATCCACCCACCCATCTATCCACCCATCCACCCAACCATACAACCATCCATTCATCTACCTACCCACCTATCCTTCCATTCAATCATCCATTCATTTCTCCATTCATCCACATACCCATTCACCTGCCCATCCACCCACCCATCCAATCATCCATTCATCTACCTACCCACATATCCTTTCATTCACCCAATCATCCACCCATCTCTCTATCCATCCACCCACTCATCCATCCATCCATCCATCCATCCATTCATCTATCCAGGCACCCATCCACCCATCTGTCTGCCCATTCATTCATTCATCCACCCATTCATTTATCTACCCACCCACCTATCCATCCATCCATCCTCCATCCATCCATCCATCCATCCATCTACCCATCCTTCAACCTATAGCATTAATGGGAGCCTACTCTGCCAGACACTGGAGAAACCGTGGTGACAAGGCAGCCCCTGGGTCTTTAAGAAGCTCAGATGCCACAAGGCCACTATGGTCCTGTGTGGTCAGTGCTAGAACAGGGAAGCACTGGGGCTTCTGAGAACCCAATGGAGGTGGCCCAATGGGCCTCAGGGGCCAGCCAAGGACTTCCTGTGGAGGGTCCTGGAAGCTGAGATCTATAGTGGGGTGGGGAGAGGGAAGAGTGTTTGGGATGGAAGAACACGTGCAAAGATGAGCCAGGACCTCGTGCTGAGTCCAACACAGAGAGACTCCCAGTCAGGAGGAGTGGGGCTGAGGCAGGTGGGCAGATCCCCAGGGGTCCCCTCCTTTCTGAAGCTGCCTTCCCACCCCTTCTCCCAACCCACTACATTGTGTGGCCCTTACCTGTGACATTGCATGTCAGGTGGGCAGTCTGTCCCTCAGGGACCTTGATCACCTCCTCCAGGTCCTCGTTCTCAATACTGGGAGGAACTGAGAGAAGCAGGGAGACAGATGGCTAGTGACTGGGGGGTCTGGCCCACTCAGGCTACAGAATCACAGAACAGGAAGCCAAGAGCCCACTGTTTCCTGTGCCTTAGTTTCCCCACCCCATGCCTGTTTCCATAGGGTGGTGAATTTAAGAAACATTTCCTGCTGGCTGATGGAAATGCCAGTGCCTCAGGAGAAGACTCTGATGAGAGGCAGGCAGTCTTAGTGGTGTTGGAAATATATGCCCCCTTCCACTTTGGATTGTCCCTGCTGTTTCTGGAAAGTTCCATGGCAGCCTCAGAACAGGGGTTTCATCTAGGCTGGAATGCAGTGGCACAATCACTGTAGCCTCTGCCTCCCGAGTAGCTGAGACTACAAGCAGGAACTACCACGCCCAGTTAATTTTTGTATATTTCATAGAGGTGGGGTCTTGCCATGTTGCCCAGGCTTGAACAAAGGTTTTTGATGAGGCAAAGCATACGAGGCTTAGCTTCTCCCTCTTTCTCTGTGCTGGGCCCCTGCTACAGCTTGACCTGTGAGTCTGGGACCCTGCCTCTGGGAGCTCCCAGGCAGTGGAAAAGGGTTCATAGGGCACCCATGAGAACGGGGTTGCAACACACCCAGCACCTCCACGCTGAAGTTCCTCCGCACCTCCCCAGCCTCGTTGCTTGCCAGGCATGAGTAGAGGCCTCTGTCTTGCTCCTGTGTCTGAGTCATCTTCAGCATCCAGCCACCTGGGGAGGGAGGGGCGTGGGCCCCAAGCATGGCTCTGAGCAGCATTCTGTCCCAAACTGAGCCCCTCTGCTGCCCAGCAGGAAGAGGCATTATAACTAGACATGTATGTGTTTCCCATTGTGTACCGTTCCTCAGATGCAGAAACTGAGGCCCAGGAGGGTAAAACAAATGGATGCAGCCGCCTGGAGATTAGACACGTATCAGAATAAATCTGAGGACCCTGTTCCAGCAAGAAGTCTCTGTCACCCTGGCCACCCCTGGCTCTGGGGATTGGCTGCAGCTGAAGGGAAAGCAAGGGGTTAAGAGGTCCTGGTCCGATGCAGACCTCTGCTCTACTCTGACAGACACAGTAAAAGGCCTCCCCCTCCCAAGGACCTCTCAGGGAGGGACAGCTCCTCTCAGAGGAGCCCAAGGGTCTCCCAAGACGGGTGTGGGGAAGGGCAGATACACAGGATGCAGACCACCACTGCTGTTACTGCACCCAGAGCAGACATCACTAATTGATCGCCACATTCCTTTCCAATGGGCCCAATGCAGTCTCCGAATTCCTATCCACAGAATGCATCTGGCAATTCCTACCAAGTGCTCAGGAGTGAGGCACGGGAGGAAATGTATTTGCCATCTCATGATGGGCTGCTTGGAACCAATGGGTGACTGAGGTGTAGCCTCAGGGGGCCTGGAAATCCTTGCAGGATTTGGATGGGACAGAGATTCCTGGGCCTTGGTTGCTCGTTCGTACACCAGCAAGAACCTCACAAACCCATTTTATGAGGAGGATGAATGTTCAGAGTAGAAGGTGCTTAGATCATCACATCCATAAAGCTTGTTACTGCTCTGTGGGATGTTACATGTTAAGTGCCAAAAGATTTTTTTTTCTTCTTTTTGCTTAGTACTTATCAGAACCTTTACTATACAAATGTTTACTGTGGTTCTCTAGGTGAGCAGAGCAGGAAGACTTTTTCAAATGTATCTTAATCCATGATTTTTTTCCTGGAGCACCTCACCCGACTAGCGTTTTGGGCTGTACTCTTTGGGGACCAGCAACTGGAATGATTATTCTAAACAGGCCTGGCAGCTCAGGGTCAGAGGTCGTGGGCATGTAATGGGCTGAGGCACAGGCAGAAGGCCCGAGCTGTTTCCCGGGATCCAACCTTGGCTGCTCTCTTACCTGCCAGTAGGTAGGTATCCTCCCCAGGGCTGACAGGCTCCTCCCCTCGGAACCAGCGGATGGCTGGGGGTGGGATCCCTGCGGCTTCGCAGAGCAGAGTTAGGGGGCTGTGCAAGGTAGCAGTGATGTTGGTCAGCGGGTCCAAGTCTCCGATGAGCTCTGGGGGCACTGGACACACAGAAGCCGCATTCAGGGTGCAGATCGGGGCTGTGTGCTTCATGCTCCTTCCCCACCAACTGCCTGCCCCCCAACTCCACCCAGCCCCACTGACTGCCCCCCAAC